TGGACGAAGCTTTTAAAAGTGTAAAAAGTTTGCTTCAAGGTGGAGAATAAACACCAGTAACAAAATGTTTATAGAAAGACTTATATTACTATTACTTAAATGATAAACAGTTTTTTTAATCAGATCTTGTTTCTGTTATAAAATCAGAGGTCAGAGCTAATGGTCTTGCTCAGGGACCCAGAGGTTCACCCTGTTAGGTTTGAAGTAATGCAGTAATGCTCTAACCAATAGGCCACCACTCCCCAGCCTATTGCTTGTCTGTACATGAAGTATCATTTTCTTTGTCTTATTTATAGTTAACCACAGGGGGGCGACAGCAGCAGCAAAGCACATCTAAAGCAATAATTGGTTGAAACTAAATAATGAAACATATATGAGCTTAAATACCTTTTCAGCACCTATTTACATGTTGCTTTGTCACAACGAGCTATTTCATTGAACTTTATTGGGATTTTATGTAAAAGACCAACACAAAAGGTGCTATAAATTTGTAGTAGAGGGAAAATCATTTATGGTTTAAAATATATATTTAATTATACATAAATACAAATATATTCACTGCGTATTTGTTTTTAGCCCCCTGGGTGAACACTGTAGGTCCACTCTTTGCTGTAATTATGACAGATCCATGAGACTTTTTTTTGTTCATTGTTCCTTACATATTTCTCAAGCTCGGTCAGACTGGGTTAGAGAAAATCATTAAAAAACTGTTTTTTTTTTTTTGTTTTTTTTTTTACAAATTCACAACCTTATTGACCAGGGTATTCTAAAAGATTTATCTGCTTTGACTTCAACTTCTCCATTTCCAACTCAGCTTGTATGTTTGGAGCCATGGTGAAACTCCTTTCCTGGTTCAAGTGTTTTGCAGCATCTAAAAGGTTTTCCTCCAAGATCCCATTAATTCTGACCAGCATGCTTGTTTTTACTAAACACAGCATCCATGCAGCTTGATGCTGCCACTACTGTGTGTCTCTGTGCACTCTTTGACTGAAGAAAAGAAAGAGAAACAAAGGATAGTTTTACTTTGAAATGAAAGTTAAGCACTTCTCTCTGTCGGGCTTTCAGATAAAATCCCTCCAAGTCAATTTGTGATTGACAGCCGCATGCAGCAGAATGGGGGGGGACTCCATTGTGTTTATATAAGCTACTAGTTCTTCTCCATTTTACTCAAAACATCAGCAATGGCAGCGAAATGCTCACACAACGCCCTGCTGTCACAGTCGAGTACAAACCTGTGCCCTGATTCCTGTTCAGATATCTGTCAGGAGGTTTGTTGTGCACCTGCATTCAGCAGGCACAAGCAGTCTATATATCACAGCCACTCCTCTGGGCTGTCAGTCTGGTGTGACAGGTTGGCACTAACCAAGGAGGGCAGCATTTGCTTCAGAGTGACATAACACTTGTGCAATGTCACACAGGAGCTGGGTTCAAAATAAAGGCAGGCAGTCTTTATGTCAAAACATAAAAGTCTGACATATCTTGGCCCTTATGTCAGCTCAGTATCCAACACACACACACGCTGAATCACTTAAATGTTCTACAATTCTTGTCAATGAGAGGAAAGCCTTTTTGGACAAAGTTAACAATACATAAAGGTCACTATCTTAACCCATTCACTGACAATAAAATGCATCCAAACGTCATATCTTTGATATCCTGGAGACATGACGAAAAAATATAGAGGTGTTAAAAAAAAAAGGTTCGGTCTCAAATCCCAAAAATCAGATCAATCCCAAACCTTAAGACTTCATTATTGACCTTATGGACCAACTTTGTGCACACGAAGAAGGAATCTGATTAGTTTCACCTCTGTATCAATGTACAGATATTTCAAATAAAAATGAAGTTCGATGGATCGGAGTGGGGAGTTTGTGTGGCGGAATGAATTCAAACATGTTTGGTTAGAACATGGGTAAACAGACTGTTTCTAAGAAATGCAGATGCTTCTGTGGCGGCTCATAGCACCGACCTGAAGGTAAACCTCTAACAATTTGAGTCCAAAATGTGTGAAGTGTGTGTAGGGATGTTAGCCGGCCCCTTTTCCTCAACCTGCAGAGATCCTGAATGAAAATGTTGCTCCGTAGGATCTGTGATTTTGCATTTTAGTGACGTTTGTCTTTGAATGTTACAGCTTAGTCCTTCTGAAATGCTTTTCATTTTAAGTTTCTTCCTGAGACCTGAGCGTCTGGTGAAATGTATTGAGGCTTTAAGATGAAAACAGTCAGAGTTTATGTTCATGAAGTTTCCTGTAAATGTATGACAGCTGATGTTTGACTTTAAACAAACGGAAGCAAACAGGTTTAGCTAATAACAGTAATGGTGAGGAATTTCTTGTAAATTTCCCAACAAACCATGAGACTGCTTCCCAGAACTGACAAGAATTTCAGGCCTATTTTTGTATTGGATGTTACACATAAAACTGCAGAAGGAAATTATTTTATGATTAATTATTAGAATTTACCACATAAACATTTTCTGCAACTCTCCCCTTAAAATACCAATGCAAATATTTGATAAAATCCTTGTTTTTATGTACACTTTTTGTGAACATTTCTTGAGAAATTTATTCTGTTCTTGCTTTTTGTCAGACAAAAAAAATGTAAATAGCTAAAACAACAGAATCTTTTCAGGATGTATTTTTCAAAAGCTTTTCATTTATTAAGGGTTGAAGTTACCTAGACCAAAGTTACCTAGACCAAACACAACGTATAACGTGAACAGTCATTTTCCCCTTGTTACTTAATGAATGAACCCCAATTAACAATGTTTTTTTTTTGTAAACTGTTGGTTCATTTTACTTGCCAAACTTGAGTGCCAGACGGAAATGTTAAAAAGTCACTTAAACAGAACTTGTCTGGCAACATGTGGAAGGGCAAAATATTTAAAAAGTGGCTCGTGCAACAATCGAGAGAAACATAGTGAGTGACATCCAGTGTTCTGTAAAGGGTGGAAATAAAACTAAATGTTCCCAGGTCTGCCAACTTCATCCCAACAATGCAGAGACTTGGTCAGAATTTGTGATTCAACAATAAAGAAACTGCCTTTTTATTAGGTTTGTGTTATGTATGCCGTGAAACTTAGGCAATTCAGGAAAAGAAAAACACACTAGAATACAAAAACACATTTAATAATTTAACCTTAATGATCTCACATTGTAGAAATTTACCTCTGTGTTTAAACAATCCCCTTGGGCAGCAGTGGGCTGCCATTGTGGGGTGCCCAAGGAGCAATCAGGGGTTAAGGGTCTTGCTTAGAGAGCCAGAGTGGCAGTCTGTGGGAGTGGGGCTCAAACTCAGAACCTCAGGGTTCCAAGCTCTATGCCCTTCACATTTAGTGTTATGGTCTACGACTTATGGCAAGGCAAGGCAAATCTATTTGTATAGCACAATTCAGTACAAAGACAATGCGAAGTGCTTTACATGATTAAAATATAGGAAAATAAAACAGAATCAGAGCAAGTAGAAGAAAAAATAAATAATAAAAAAAAACAAGAAAGAACATTATAAGCAGTTGGACTAAAGAAAAAAAATATATAAACGTCCCCTTATCACTGAAGAAGATAGAATGGATTATTTGATTTGAAGAGAAAACCACAGTTTGTCCACATTAATATAAAAAGCTCTTTGTCATTTATATATATAAAAAAACCATAAGGTTTAGGGAGGCAGTTTTTGTCTTCCCCGAATGAATGGAATTATCATTTTAAAACTGAATCTAGATTTTACCCAGGTTATTTAGATAGGTAAAAAACAAAAATATTACCTGAAAAAAAAAAAAACATCTGTAAAGAAAGGAAATACTCTTATGACTGCTGTTTGTGAATACAGATAGAAAACAAATGTGTAGTTTAACCTCTGTAGTGAACAAAGGTGGGTGGATTAGCAAAAAAAATTAAAACTAAAGTTGTGGTATTTCAAAAATATTTCACTCAAGTAGAAGTGAAATACATGGTGCAATAAAACTATTAGAGGAAGGGTTTCTTAAAAAACTTAACTCTAAATACAACATATGTAACTGGGAGCTATTAAGTTACCCCTAAGCTACGTTAAAACAATTGTTTATTGTCATCCTGGATGGCAAATTAACATACAAGAGAAGTCACTGAAAGACATAATGAGACTGACATTTGGATAAATGATATTCTGCAATCTTAAAACACTTAAGGTCAGACAGCTCTTGATCTTAGACACATAAGAAGAGATCTGAGCATATATTTACTATTCAGCTTTTTCCTGTTTTAGCTACAATATATGCTGTAAGTAAGTTTTAAACAAAACAAAAATGAACATAAATCCCACTTACGTAAAAGTTATCCTTGTTTAACTTTCATCTTTGTTATGAAAAATATCACAAACAGAAGTGAAGAACATCAGTTTGAAAATATGTTAAATCACCCTGGATAGATCTGTGTGAATCGTCCAAACAGCCTTTCCCAAAGTGAAGCTAATCTCCTGCAATGTAGAACTAACAGGCAAAACAATGAGCTATTCAGCCACATTAAGCTTTGCTTCATGAAGTGCCATGCAGAAAATATAAAAATCTCACTTTTTGAACTGAAGCAGATGACTAAATAAGTTTAATTGATATTTTATACTTTAAAATACCACAGGACCGTAATCAGTAAAAAATGGTTGTATGGTAGTACGGTGGGAAATGTTATGCAAAAGTGCAAAAAATAGTTTTGACTGCACTAAGTTATATTCTGAGGGCAGCTATGTTGGATTTGACTCTTTCTGTCATTACTATAGCTTTAAAGTAGGACATTTTAATTTGTGTATGAAAATGAGATGATCATTTCCAATGTTTTTAACTAAGGAAAATATATTTCTTTGCATATTGCAATTTAAAAAGGTTGAAAATGTACCAAATGCCTTTGTGTAGCTTGATTTAAAAGATTTAATATTGAAAGCAGTTTGAGAACCACAGTCTGTAAACAAAGAGGCTGTAAACTCAATAGATTGACCTCCGGCCTCCAGGGGGCGCCATTCTGCCTGGCTGGGTGAAGCGATGACGTCTAAGCGGAAGTGATTGTCAGGACTGTTTTCTGCAGGATGAAGATGAAGTTTAGAAAACAAGTCCAAACTTTTACAAAATAAGGATTGGTAGTAAAGTTTTAAACGGCAGTAGATATGAAGACGGTCTTTGTTACCGTCGGAACTACGCGCTTTGATGAGCTGATAGAGAGCGTCACTTCCCCTGAAGTAACACGGGTGAGCAGGGATCTTCTTAGGTCTGGTTAGGAGCTGATCATGTTATTTTATTATTTTTAAATGCTTGCCCCCCATAACAGATACTGAAGGCTCGGGGGTATGAGCGTCTGGTTCTGCAAGTCGGAAGAGGAGCTTTTGTTCCAGATGCTGACAGCTGTGCTCACCTCAGTGTGGAGGCGTTTCGCTTCAAGGACTCCATAGCGGAAGACATGAGACAGGCTGATCTGATCATCAGCCATGCTGGTAATTAACAGGCCTTTTAAGACATAAAGATGTAAACAGTTTGAGGATACTATATATGTTATTTATGCTAAATATCTGACCAATGGCGTAACGACACAACAATAAGTAACCAACATTATCTGGGCCCCATATGAAGTACAACACCCTGGGTTACCCATAATTCCAAGTTGTAGTGTAAAAATAAAATGCTCAAATACATCGTTCTTTTAAGATCTTTATGGCGGTTTGAAACATATTATATGAGTGTATTTTTTTAACCAACCGTCTAATGAACTACACCCAGTTATTAATATAGTAATTAAAATTACCACTGTCTGCTTTGCTATTGGTGTCCGGTTTAAAAGGCTCACCATCATATTAAAATCTGACATGTGTTGCGGTATAAATAAGGTCTGGTCAGTCAGCTCAAATTCAGGTGGCAAACAATGAGTGAATTGCTGTAATTTGCCTTTTGCACTCATAAGTTATTGCACACTTATGTATGTCTAGTGTTTAATCTTCCACATGGCTCTAGCACCTAAAGGTGGACAGTTTGTGTGAAGTGTGTAATAGAGAATTAAATATATAGTCTATTACCAGAGGTTTTTACCAGACTTTTTAAGTATACTTTACTCCATTACTTCTTTTTCTTCCTACTTCTGACTTCTACTCATTTTCACACAAGTTTTTAAAACAAATTTTACTCGTTAGTCTTGGCCTTGGTTTAATGTTAATAAATAATTTCACGTCATGTGTGCCATCCAATGCAGATCATTGGCGCCATCCACATCTAGTGAAAACTAGTGTCATTGAATGAGTCATATAACGTAAACACTCATTGGTTAGCTAAAGAAAATCATTAGAAGCAAGCAGGTGTTCTTCAAACTGCAAACGTGAATTATCTATGCCATGCTACAATGTCGGATTCCGATAAAGATGTATAGTTATATAGTATAGTTGAAAAACTGAGCTTTCAGTAGCTTTAAGTAGTTTCTGGAGCACATACTTTTTCACTTTTACTTGAGTAAAGAGGTCAAGTTGATACTTCAACTTTTACCAGAGTGTTTTTAAACTGCAGGATCTATACTTCTACTTAAGTAACAAATGTGTGTACTTTTGGCTCCACTGTCCATTACCCAAAAAGCTGTATTATTCGAGCTGTTAAACAGCTGTAAACTCTTCTCATTCTCTTTGACATCAAGCTTCGTAGATAATTCCTCATTCTTTGACCTGAATATGGAGTCCTTACAATAAAAAATAATAAACACAGATAGATGCTAAAAAACCCTTTTTAAAAGTAGAACATGTTTTTTTTAATACCACCAAAATAAGGCCTCATCACTCTTTAAATAGTCTCTTATGGTGCCTAAAATAGAGAATGTTAAATAAATTATCATTAGCTCCACATAAACAATCAAAAGAACCACAATAGTATAATATTTCATACCATATCTTCCTCAGGAACTGGTCAGTGTATGAAGGACTGATGCTTGGATTCTGTGTTTTTATGGGTCTGTCATGTTTCTGTCCTGCTGATTTCGGAGCCATGAATGGTTCGCTGTCCACCCAAATTATTTAACCATTTTCCTCATCCTTTGACACGATGGGCCGGATCTATCAAAGGTTTGCGTGTATTAAAACGTGAGCTATTTCACTGCGCACGCTAAAAAATGTACAAACTGATCTATCAACAGCGTGCTAAAAGGATTTGGTCTTTAAAATGTGCTAAATAGCGCCTCTTATCCATTTAGTACTTTTTCTGCAATGAATATGCAATATGGGGCGTTTACACGCAAAAGTGCGTCTTGTGGGAGGAGAACATGTAAATATATTAATTTAGCACTCGCAAAGTAATTTATCAAACCTGAAAGCAATTTTGCTAACGCTATCTGACTCTATATTTAACACGTTTCAAAAGAAGGTGCAAATGGTCTGTATGCGTAATTGCGCACACATGGCAGCGGTTATTGTCGCAAGAAGGAGACATGGAAATGAAGCAAGGAGACGCAGAGAACGCATTTTTTCACTCCGTGTGAATATTTTTGGAATGAACGAGGAAACGATCATCAAAACATATCGTTTATCCAGCATTGCCATTTTGGAGCTGCAATTCCAGTGATTTGCTCCTCACAGAGCGTCAGCTGTACTTGTTCCTCAATGCTGGTCAGAGGCATCTCATCTACTGTGCCCCGTCCTGTTTTGTTCGCAGATGTTTTGTTATATGCCAGTTTTTCTTTGGTTCGCCTTCTAATATCCTGGTATCTTCTTTATACTTCATCCACTGTTCGCAAGGTTTCACCAACAGCGTTTTCTTTATTACAGATTTGTTCACATATATCGTTCCTCTGTGTGACAGTCACAATTTTTTGCTGTAGCTCACTTAAATGTTTGTTGGCTTCATCCACCAACACCTCCATTTCCATGGGGTCGAATTTCCTTTTGCGCTTTCTGCTGTCCAAACACGTCATGCCGCAAACCACCAAACGCGCAAAACCATCATTTAAATAGGGCGTCTCCAACAGTTTTGCACCTGCCACCAGTTACGCAATCGCTCTTGTTAAATCACCCGCAAACCATGGTTCAGCCCCTCGCGCAAAATTCCAGTTTGCGAGCGCAAATTACTGCACGCAAAATTGGATCTTGATAAATCCGGCCCTAAGTCAGGGAGTTTCTTCTTCCCACTCAAGTCTGTATTTTTTGAAAGTGTTTTCTTCAGAGGAAATGGCGGAGTATAGGGTATAAAGACAGGGGGCAGAGAGCAGTGTAGGTGAGGGGGGTCCGTCTCTAGGCAACCGTGACAGCAGCTTTTTTTATAGTGTTGATGTGAGTTTCACAGACATGTGTTCTAAAAATAAATGGAAATACAGGACAAATCGCGTCCCTTAACAGTTTAATACAAGCCACGGTGCTTAACTGCCAAAATAAAGGATAATTCCGCATTTTAAAGGTGGCAACCCTAAATTTGACTATTAAAAAAAAAATGGTTAGGATAACAATGCAAGAACACACTTGAGAAACTGATATAAATCAATAGCATGTATCTATGTATCTGTTCCAACAGCACAGAATAAACGAGTAACCTGCAGTTTTTTATCTTAGGATAGTAGAAAATCTAACGCTGCACTAATAAGAGATTATTACAATACAAATGGATATAGAATCGACACACAAAAACAGCAGCTCCAGCTCCTGATGGACACGCAAAGTGTTGACGGATAAAAAATCACTAGTGTGACAAGTAGGATATTAACAGTGCAATTATTTTAAGTATTAATTTATTCAGGCATATATGGCAGCATACGGATAAAGATGTCCATTGACCAAACATTAGAGAGCAAATTAATGCTGAGTCTCTTAAACTTTTTAAATAAATAATACTGCATGTCTTTTACAGTAAAGAGAGAAAGGGATGGATTATAACTCGCTAACAGAAGCTAAAAGCAGGCCGTGGTTGCTGGTCATGCTCAATGAGCTGCTCCTATATGTTTACTTAGTCTTACCAACAACTTAACGTACAAATAGAAACACCCATGCATTCATTTATTTCATACGTGGTAAGCGGTGTGAGTGGGCAGCATGGGGTCCAGTGTTTCACCTCAGGACGTGGCTTTTTGGGAAGTAACCGCCTGAATGATTATCGCAGAGGAGAGAATTATTCAGGAGATCTTTAATTTTATTTACACTGAGAACAACTGGTTCTCTTAATGAACACTTAAGTGCTTCAAAATAAATGAATGAATCATTCTTAAAATTGTTGGAATTCCTTGTTTTCGTCTGCCTGCTTAGAGTTGTGGGAGTTTTTTCTTATTTATTTGTCTTTTACTTTGAACTGTGCTTTTAGGGGTTAAATATTAAACATCAGTCTGCAGTCAGATCTTAAGGAGGTTTTGCTGGATTCTTTCTCTGAAGGTACTTTGATAATGAGTCTGAAAGCAACAAGCCGATATAATTTATACTGCACACGTGTATAAGAAATTTACTGCAATGTCAAAACCTAACTTTTGATTTGTTTTCATGTTTTTGGACAATAAAAAATGAAAACCTGAGGGAAATAAAAATGCACTCTTTAATTCTCACAGTGAATCTTTGTTATCATTATTAATATGATTATTTTTTTTGACGTGTCAGGGGCCGGAAGTTGTCTGGAGGCTCTCGGTGCTGGAAAACCTCTGCTGGTTGTAGTCAATGACAAACTGATGGACAACCACCAGCTGGAGCTGGCCAGGCAGCTGCACATGGACCACCACCTGCTGTATTGTACCTGCAGGTCACTCTCTCTCTCTCACACACATGCCGGATGCCTGAAGTTAACCACTATTAACAGTGTTTTTGTTTTGTTTTTTCTGTATCCAGCACACTGATAGAGACTCTGAAGAACATGGACCTCTCAGTTCTGCAGCCATTCCCACCTGGACAGCCAAAGAACTTTGCTGACTTTTTAGACAAAGCACTCGGGGTGAAATGACTTCTCAAAACTGTTGGTTATGTTGCACAGAACAGGGCTGATTCTTTATTTTCAAAGATTATGACTTTGCGAACAACTTAAACTGGATGTTTATTTATTCTAATCAAGAAAAGTTTGGGTTTTGGTAATAAAATATTTATATCAAATATCTTTAAATAGAACTTTTAGAGCTCTGATTGTAGACAGAATGAGGACTAATAAGTCAGTACCTGTAAGGGGACCAATCTTATAGACTCCAGTTCACTCATTCTGTCATTGAGTTTGACTGCTACAGCTGATTTGGAAATAAAGAAGGTCACATCTAACGATAACACTCAGTTGTAGACTAAATAACGTCTGGCATCCTTTTTGTCAGGCCTTTATTGCTCGATGGTCAACTGACAAGATTTGTTCTTCTGGAGAGTTTAATCTGAATATAAATATTAATTAATGACCTCAGAAAACAAGTTTTCTCAGAGCAGATGTCTGATCTGGTTTATCTTCGGTTGTTTGTCGAGTCTTTTGCGTTCATACTTTTATTTTAAACTCTAAATGCTCTCCTGTAACTATAAACGTTATCATGGGGTGAGTCTAATACCCAAAATGTAATTTGAGTCGTCTGGGTTAGATCGTGTATATTTTTCAGAGCAGAAAAAAATAGATATTTATTTTTGATGCAGAGAAATCTCTACCTCCGCACATTGATCCTGATACATAAGTGGACATAGCTTAATCTCAGCTCTGATAAGGATGTGATAACCCTGGATGGGATTATGAGAATCTATAACTGAACTGTTATTTCTTATGCATTTAGAGTGGTGAAAATAAAGCCATATGAAGTCCTCTGCCGTTTATCACAATGCAGCGGACAAAACATACATGGAAGAAAGTGTTGTGGTCAGATAAGCCCAAAATGATGTAACTTCTGGCCTACAAGTTAAATTAATCACTGCTGCACATCACCTTAAAAAAGCACAAAAAAAACCCCCATCCCAGCCACAGTGGCATCTGTATCATATTTTAGTTTTTTTTGTTTGTTTTTTTCCCTTCAGCAGAGTCAGAGAAGTTGATCACAGCGGCTGGGAAAAGTTAAAAAAGAAGTGTTAAAGACAGCTAAAGAGGTTCTCCTTCCCTCAAACACTAAGCTGTAGCTCCGATTTTAAGTCTAAATATCAGTTTAGAAAAATTCTGACTGATCCATCCAAGCCACTTAAAATGAATTTTGTGTTTTATAATATGAAAAAGTTAGCTGCATTGTTTTAAAGGGCATGTTTACTTGCCAAAGGGCTTAGTGGGTGTTTAAATGCAAAACCTTGTGGGCTGATTATCACGTTCCTCTCAGAACAACACAATCCTCCAGTTAACAACAGATAGTGCAGCTCAGGGGATTTCATCTAAAAATTCTTTTGTTTTTATTATAATTTCCAGATACAGAAAGTAGAAAAAGTACTCCATGATATTTCTCAAACTTGGATAAGAAACTCATACTAAGTTAACTTCTATCGGGTCGGTGTTGAAACACAGCTGACTGAAAAGCTGCACGTACCAGAGCTTGCCCCTTCGACCTAAAAACAGTGAAAACCACAACAGGAAACATTTTTGTCTGCTTTGCTTTAGAGAAGTCAGAGGCAGAAGCATTGAAGGAAAATGTTTATGCAGTTATTTCTCATCCTAAAACACATTTTTAAGACATTAATAATTTCTAAGAGAGCAGCTATAAAACCTGATTCAGGTGTTTTTAAGAATGCCCACTAACAAACCTGTCCAGACGGATGACCAGGAGGAGCACCGGCAGGTTTCCCTAACAGGAAACTCCCTTCTGTGCTGTTGCCTGCTGAATTTCAGAAGAACAGGAATTTTTTGTAATTTTATGACACGCTACTTTCTCCAGTTCCTTTCTTCAGAAAGACGTGTTGCAGTTTACAGAAATCAGCTATATGGTTATGAGAAGGACGACACTGAAACATCTCTTAACGTGTTAATTCTCATTTAAATCAGGGACAGATACAGAATGCAGTTCATAAAGGATAGAGAAATAACTCATTGATAAGGTTTTTTCTTTCTTGAGCCCAATTTACATTTTAACATGTGAACCACAGAATGTCATTATGTCCATCAAAAGAAAGACAGACAGACAGACAGACAGACAGACAGACAGACAGACAGACAGACAGACAGACAGACAGACAGACAGACAGACAGACAGACAGACAGACAGACAGACAGACAGACAGACAGACAGACAGACAGACAGACAGACAGACAGACAGACAGACAGACAGACAGACAGACAGACAGATAGATAGATAGATAGATAGATAGATAGATAGATAGATAGATAGATAGATAGATATAATTAGCAGTGCATAATAAAACCTTCCCATAAACATGTTTGGCCTCAGAGCTGCCCTGTTTTTCCTCAGTTTACTCTGGTTTAGACTGGTCCAGTCTGACACACAATATGATTCACATGATGTTTGTTAATCAAATCGGAATGACACAAACAAGAGTCTCTCTCGCTTATGAGGCCAGCTCTAATGCATTATTTGATGCTCTCCTTCTGTAGAAAGACCTGTTTAGCCCTAAGGCATCCAAAAGGCGCCTCAGTAAAGCAAAGTAGGAATTTTTCAAGTGAGTTCCTTCAAAAAGGTTATAATTAGTTAATATCTTACATGCAGTAGGTCTTCCAAGTAGTATCCCAATTTATTTTATTATTTTTCTCCCTGGCAAGAGACTGAAACCAACTTGTACTCCAAAGTCATACATTTTATGGTGGTTTATGTAATGGATGCTGATTAAATAAAATAATATCAGATAATAGATAACCCAGAAATCTAAATTGAACACATTTAACAAAATCAAAAATATACAAACAACACATGTCTTCTGTGTCGATACCAGGCCAGATTAATATTGTATTTGAAAACAGCAATTGAGTCACGATACTTTTTTCAGATTAACTGTACCATAGACCAACCTTTTTTGACTTGTGCACCCCTTTGTGAATATTGTGTTACCATGAGTACCCCTCTCAGTCAAAAGTATTGATGATTGTCCAAAAGTGGAACCTGCAATAACCGATTATAGAAGAAAAACTATTTTACTTAATCTTTTAATTTGAGGATTTAATTCCTGGGCATTTTATTCTTTCCATCTCAAATAAAAATAACACAAATATGTATAAATAACTTTATAACAAATGTAGGATTATTTTTCATTGAATAATTTGTTTTTTGCATATCTTTTGTAAAAGCCTGCTCAAAGTAAACATGCAACAATATAGTGAAAAAAAAGTAGTTTCTAAAAATCCTTTTCGACTCAAAGGAAAAAAACCACATCTGCCTCTTTATAAGTTCTGAAATATTTTTTAGGGGTTGAAAAACCTGGCAAATAAAAGGCAAATGATTGGTCTATTATACTGAGTTTTACACTTTAACAATCTGAAACGGGGATGTAAATAAACGGTAATCTGTTCAGATACTTTCATTTTCATTCAGAAACATTTTGCCCTCCTCTATCAATTAATGAAGCAGATTTTGTGTTTAACACATGCAGACAGAAGAACTCTAATATTATCCCACCTTGCATAAGCTGTAGAGGACTTAAGCAGAGGATGGTCAGGTCCTTTGACTTTCAGCTTTTTAATTAAATCTTGTTAAAAATTAAAAAGAATTACTTGTTTTTAAAGGTTTTCAATGAGTTCTGGAAGTAAACTAGAAGATTTATTGGTGAAAATTCTCCATTAAGACCAAAAAAGAACATTCTAAGATATAATCACTTTGGTTAGTGTATGCAATTTTAATCAGTGTTGAAAATATAAAAAAAAAACACTCTGGGTTAAATCCCTGTAAAGACTGAAATATAGATTCTAGAGTCTTTTCTTGTTTGTTTTCTGCAAGCATGTAAGCACTTCAGAAGTACAAAAAGAAAAGCATAACATTTTGAAATGGGAATTAAAATCCCAAGCATGCTTGAATCTGATGAGAGACGACTGTCGATGCAGCTAACTGATCCAAAGGTTGTGACTTGAGTTTTCTGAAAACAATTAGATTTTGTCCGGTTGTGCAGACAAATGTGTCTTTCAACAAAACAAGCAATGACTGAGCGAGCGCACACAATAACAACCTGACCAGGAAAACTGTCTAAATATAATAACATGTTGCAGGTGAAAGCTCCTCCTATGTGTTTTGGTCAGTTACTGGTAACACCCAACATGTAAAATGTTTTTCCTGCATTGGTCATAAGAAGAGATAGTCTTAGCAAAGCATGACGACTGAAATCCTCACAGAAGGAGACTTTTGTTGCAACCTCAGGATATAAGCTATAAGATTAACAAGACAATGGCATTTTCTTTTCTCCATAATAGCAAGGTTGCTAGATCAAATGTGTGTTCAGAAAGTAAATATTTATAAAAAGGGGAATATATGTAGTTAGGGATCTGACAAACTGGTATCATTTCCAGGTATTCAAAAGTGAACAATGTGAGGAATAAAAAAATAAATCTTGCCATATGTAGGATGACAGGTGAGGATTTGAAGAAAGAGCTGATATAGCTGCATTGGTGTCCATGGTGTGGCTGTTAACCCCCTGCTGGAGCTACATGGCCCAGTCAAAACAGCAACTGTTTAGAGCAACCAACAGAAACAGAGCCTCATTCAAAAGGGATGGATTCTAGATAGATCACATTTTTTGGAAGGTGTGACCCAAAGACCTAAATGTTTTAGAAGACTGTTGAAAAAATAAGTGTCACTTATTTATGTTTGAATCCTCTGGCTCTAGAATATTATGTCTGTATTTTAAAGTTCTGAAAAACATCAATTGTTTTCTTTAGCGTTTCCAGTTTTACCTAAATGTGATCATCTGTTTTGAACCTTTTTGGACATGAGACCCCTCACACCACCAACATGGACTGTTCTCCCTGCTGCCCTCTGGAAAGAGACGTCGAAGCATCGGATGCAGGTCCAGCAGATTCCAGAACAGTTTCTTCCTCACTGCCATTAGACTGGAAAATGTTTTATAAAATGGGGTTTATAAAAACAAAACAAAAAAAACCCCTGAAAGTTGGAATCTGTAAATCATAAAGTCATATGTTTATATTTATCCCTGCTGCACTTTGAAAAACCTGTACTGAACGAAGTTTCTTTATGTATACACTCTGTGTGTAAAAAATAACAATAAAATCTGTTTAAGTCTTTTAGTAATACTGTCTAAATGTTCTATGCTTTAAAGTCACTTGTTTAACCTCTTACAAGTAAGTTAAAAAGAACGCTTAATCAGAATCTGACTCAGACTTATACAACTCCTTGAATTTGATTAGCAAAACTTACAAATTTTATTTTCTTTTGAACTTGTAGGGTAATTAATAATATACCAAAATACAGATATAAGTGACCAAGCTTTTTTTTTTTTTTATTTACAGATTAGTCCCTTCTCCAATGAAAAGCCTGGGATTCAAAGTCCCAGGTATTTCACCAGTGAATTCTGCAGCCTGCTGTTTCTGGAAATCTGAAGGGAAAATAAAACACATAAACAGACCTAAAAGTCAATCCTAATTTACTGTTCTGTGATGAGTCATAATGTTACAATTGAGGACTGAGACTATTGACTGCATAGAAAATAAGTGGACTTTGGACAGGTTCTCCTAAAGCTACTATCTGCTGGGCACACTTGTGAATAAAGAACCTGCTTTGTTTGCGTTTAGTTTCATTTTATGTTTTTAGTAACTTCAGCTTCTATGTTTGGTCTTCAAAAATGTTTGCTTCTTGTTTCTTCAATTAATGTATTAGTAAAGATTGTTCCATAAATTGCAAATCATTGTGGTAATTTTAAATCCTTTTTGCTGGTTCAGGTCCTGATTGCTGCTTTATTTTTACTGTACTGTAAATCTTTGTTTTGCAAAGCTGTTGTGGTTACGATTGGTTTCTTTTCCTCTCTAAAGTGATTCTATGGGGTTTTCCTTGTGCCTATTTTTGTATTCCACAGAACTATGAGGAAAATCGGTTTGTAAATTATTTCACCATGCCTTAAGTTCAATTACCTTCAATTTCTGGAAACGATGTGGAAGGATGTGATTACAAGCCGCTACTATGTATTCAGGATGTAGGTAAAGGGATATTTCACTGCTTTTTGGCATCTCATATCCATTTATTATCAAACCTGGTAATGGCTACCCAACATACAGCCAAATACAATATATTTAAAACAGTTTGAAAGCTTTGAAATCTTTAAAATGTGACCAAGCTCAGATGTGACCCAGTTCCAAACCCGCAAACGTTGCAATGTTCAAACCAGGCTTGGGTTGTTTCACACTGAATGTGGATATTATCTGTTCTGAAACATATGTGCTTCTCTTTGACATTTCAGATTCTGCATTTTTAAACCTGAAGAAAGAAAAATGGATTCATTTAAACAATGAAACAAAATGACTTTGTGGATTTTATTTTGTTTTTTTTTTTTATAAATCCAGCAGTCAGAACAGCAGTCCACACTAATGATGTCTTCCTATGTATGGTTGGAATCAAAGTTTGGTTTAACAAAAAAAAGGACCCCAAGCTTTCAAGATCTTAAAGAGTTGCGTTAATCATTCATACAAACCGGAAAGAGGTTTGGCACAAGTGGAAAATTACCAATACACCAGTGTCCACTTGCAGTCTAGGGTAAGTGGACCTTTAACAAGAGAAGTAGAGCTGATCCACTGTCTAAGTGGGAGAATGTCTGACCTTATGATAGCGGGCTGAAATCCGCAAAAGGTCCATTGCAGTTTGTCTTTTAGGAACACAGAGGTGTTCTGGTCAGATCAAATAAAAATGTTACTTTTTGACTAACCTGAAAAAAGGGGGGCAGAAAATGGACAATGCACAATACTATTAACAAAGTGTCCCTATACTGAAACATGGTGATGGCAGCGTCATGCTGTTGAGAAATTTTGACTTCTGCATGGACAGGAAGGCTAACCAGAGTTTACAGGATATGGGAGGAGCTAAATATATGACTCGGGGAGAGGTTCTCCTTCTGTAGGAGCCAATTATTTTTTGTTAATAATTAAAAATGTTTTTGTTTTTGCGCATAATCTAGCTAAGTTTATTTTACTTCATTGTTTGATATCTGTTATGAGATTGTTTTTTTTTTGGTTATTTAGTCATGCTCCTTTGTTTTTGGTTAGTTATGATTAATTTAGGTGAATTATTTTTGTATAAATAGGCAGTCAGTGGTAGGACCAGCATGCATCTGGGTGGGCGTATGGTTTTCTTTTACCAGCGCAAGAAAAACATGGAGGAAATGTTTGTCTTTTTTTGTTTGCTTGCCTGATGAAACAATAAACTGAGAAAACTAAACGAGTTTACCTGGAACATTTTTTTCTTTTGCCTTTATAAGATAAGTCCATGGTGCATCTGTGGCCTTGGTGGATTTCCACTTTTTTGTGTCATCAAAGCCGGGCCACAACACCTTCCACTAGGACAACTGTGAATTTATAGCCAGAGCTACACTGGTATGGTTAGATGAAAGCACATTAGTGTTGGAGAGCGGTCCTGTCACAGTCCAGACCTGAACTGTAAGACTGTAAAATAAAATCTTACAGAGACTTTCCTTCTTTTGAGTTATTTTATTAAGAAGAATGAGAAAACAGAAAAGTCTCCAGATGTGGAAAGTTGGAAAATACTCCCAAAGACTTAACTTTTGTTTATTAAAAGGTTGGCAAAAGGTGAAAGTACAAGGTAGTTTTTGGTTTCGTACAGTCATCATCCACTGTTTATCTATTGTTTAAAATCTACAGAAAAACTTTTTAAAAGTTTGTGAAAGTTGAAAAGAGCTTTTAACTGAATCCATGTGTATGGCTTGATAACACTAACAAACAATTAGAGGTTCTCAAAGTGGGGGTTGGGAACCTTTAGGGGTCGCAAGACACAAAGACTGGGGTCGTGAGATGGTTTTCACAAACACTGAGGTGATCCCTGAGCTATAGGGAGAACTAAAATATATCATGAAATACATAAACAGGAAAAGATTGGAGGTATCTTTGAATAAGTGCACGGTTGTCATAGTTACTTAAAAAACTGGAACGTTTTTGAATTTAAAAAAATGTGTTCAAGGCCTGGAAAGCTTTTTAGAAAAAAACAATAAAAAAAACACCTATCTTTATAACTAGCTACAGCTGACCCAATGGTTGCAGGAGGTCAACACTGCAACACACAGTCCTTCAGTTTCAGAAAACTGGTCCTGGAAAGTTTTCGGAAGGTTCCGAATTTTATGTTAACTGAGATGTGGGAACCCTGTAAGTAAATGTAACATTTTTGGGTGTCAAAGAAATTGAGTTACGATGGAGTAGAACAAATCTAAAACATTTTCAAAAATATGTTTTGAATTTTTTACAAAATTCAAACCAAATTTTAATTGTAGTTATCGAATTACCCTTGTAGGCCTGTGTCTCTCTATAACTTGATTTAAATATATAAAATATTCTTTTATAAAATAAAATATATAATTAAACATAATTGTATGTCTTAAACAGAATGGTTAATTTAGTAGTTTAAAGTAATTTTAAAACTGCATTTCTTTCAATATACTCTACATATAGTGATGTGATTTAATTAATATGTATTTTTAAGGGGTCCCCAGTCTGTAAGATGGTTATTTGGGAAACTCTGCTCTACTTAAGCTCACCTTCTCATCTGAGTGGGTTAAAGGTTGATAGTCTGACCATGTCTCTTCCTTATTCTGCCTCTCTGTTGTTTGCAGATGTTCATTAGCATTTGTGCATGCCCCCTCAGACTGGAAGCCCCGCCCCCTGTGCGCTGATTGGCTGCGCTGTTACCGGAGCTGTCAGCTCTGCTTTGGGAAGCTCTCCTTCCTCTCAGTTCAAGCTGCAGCTCAAGATAGGCTGAGCCGAGGAGGGGGGGCAGTGACAGAAGCGCTCCCTTTTGTTAGCAGCTCGGAGAGCAGCTGGAGAGACTCCGACCGACCGGATCCATGCAGGAGAACACCGTTTTTGGAAAATGATCATCTGTACGAGTAAAATGGAGTACCCCTTAAGATCGCAGTGCAAGCGAGTCCAGAAACAGGTAGGCTGTAATTCTGTTGTGTTTTCACCCGTGTTATGGATTAGTGGGGTTTAAACAAGTGTATGCTAGCCCTAGAAGCGAAAACCGTTCATTCATTTGTTCCTCTGTCAAAAAAAACGGCTTATCTCTTGTCCAGCACTGTGAGCAAAGCCCCACTTCGCCTTCAGGTGTTGAATTACATAGGTTAGCTGCTGGAAGTTGAAGTGAAAGATAGTTTATTTCATTCGTTTTTGTTTTTCAGAAAGGAAACTTCTGAAACAAAGTATGAGACTGAGCTGAAGCTGGTTTCCGATTTGTCTTACTTAAAGGGCTATTCCACTTCTGGCCTACCTTTGATCAGCTCTAGTTAAAAGTCTAATATATCTGGCAAATCTGGTTATTTCTGAACACATTTATGGCAGCTATGTCCTATTTATGGCCCTTTTATATGGTTAGTTAATACACAAATAAGTTATATCATGGTTTTTTGTTTGCTTTAACACCACTTTGAATTAGGCCAAGCATAAAAACCTTAACAGAAAGACAAGTTTAACCAGGATTAAAGTATTCCACTTTGAGTATATTTCACTTTATGTAGCTGGAGATTTGTGAATACCCTATTCTATTGGTGAAAACTCTTAAAAAGGCACTGTTAAAGCTTGGACCTCATTAAGTGATTGCAAAATTGAGATGATGAAATAGTTTTAACAACACAAGTTTTGTGATTTGTGCAAAACATTTAGGTATAAGGCCACAAAAATAAGTTATTTTAATTCAATGAAAGAAACAAACCAGAATTAACAGATGTAGCAAAACTGAAGTCGATTTATTTATGCTGATTAGGGCTATTTAAAACTTTTGTTTTTTTTAAGTTAATAATTAAAACTTTATTTTGTAGCCAAATTTGAAAAGAAAGTTAATTGTATTTAATTGTAGCTTTAGATTCAGCCAACCTCCAAGACCAGGACAGATAGACAAGATGAACCTTGACTGGATTATTCAGCCTTGGTGTATTCTCTAAAATGCTTTTAATGATAATTGACCTTGTTGATCAAAATTATAGAAAGAACCATTTAAGTTTTTTTTTGTTTGTTTGTTTGTTTTTTATGTATTACAGCCAAATTTGGTCAAGAGTAAACCTCGCAACAGTAAAAAATAAAAAGCCAAACCTATAATGGACTCTATACTGGAATGAAAAAATGCTGTTTTTGATGCATGGAACCTCAAATATTTTTGTGAAGCCACTAAAAGCTGACACACATGCGTTTTTTTCCCCCCCAACATTTCAAATATTTGGTATCAGATCATTGGTGAAAACCTCAGCCCTGATCTAAAAACACTGCTACTTAAAAAGAGCTCGGGAGATGGTCATTTATTATGTTAAAATGTCAAGTTAATGTTTTGGGTTTTTTAGGAGCAGTTTTTTTATTTGATTAGGTCAACTAAAAAAACATGATAGTTAGGGATTTTAAAAATGTATTATTCTTTAGTTTTCAAACCACAATTTGATGTGTGAAATCATCACCATAACAATACCTTTGCTATAAATGTGAAAACTGTAATCCACAGACCTGGCGAACCTGAGCACAATCCTTTAGTAATAATCTGGATTTCTTTCAACATTATTACTAACAAATTATGTTATTTTAAGTTTTTTCAGCATTAAAAACAACATGATCTCCTCCTTGAAAACTGGAGTTCTGGTGAAATTGAAAAGAGCACAATCTGTAACCATAGAAGGGGATCAATATCCCCAAAAAACAAACTGAAAAATTACATTTTTGTTAAAGTTTCCACTAATGCATTTTATAGAATCCTTATTCAATGCATACTTGTTAAGTTCAGGTTTGGTTCATATAAACGAGTCTAAATTTGAGTTATAAATGCAAAAATGCTCCTTTTAAAATCTATGCAATGACCCTTTAATGACACATCGGATCAAAAGCCAACTTCGGTGCAGTGAGAGGCAGCAACGTTAGCGCTAGCAAAAAAAATAAATAAAATACCCGAACTAAACTTCTAACAATGGCATGTATTGCTCTGGAAATGGTTCAAATACTTGAATTGAATATTAAAATTTATTGAGTGATATTTATTTATTTTTTTAGCGTGTTTTTATTCTCACTGCTGAAGTGGTTTCCATCTTTAGCCGTGTATGTTAAATGTCACGTAGAGCTCGCGCCGTTGAGACGATTTAGCTCGGACCGTTTAGCTAGTAACGGCTTTTTATGTTTGTTTGTTTTCTGGTAAAAGGAGGGGGTAAAGTCAGGGATGCTGGGATTCAATATACCAAGACAAAGACAGAAACGTCTCCTGTACTCTCTGACTGGCATCAGCGTTTCATTTTAAAATTCTTGGTATATTTTGAATGTTATCTTGTTAAAGATAAACGACTAACGGCTGAGGACGTTTGTCCGTGAAGGGAGCTGCAGGTGAAGGTGACGTCATACGAAGATTTGATGAAAAAAAAAGTGTTTCAGTGTTGTGTGAAGTAATGCAGGGTTCATTTTATTCCTTCTGTCTGAAATGCGTCAGAAAACAATGCAATATGTTTGTCAATGGACAGAAATCCCTCTGTTTCCTCTGCTTGCAGCTCTTCTTGGCCTCCTTTCTTGTGCTGCTGATTTTTTTTTTCTTCGCCTGTAGCCGGACTGCCAATCAAAGTTGTTTTTCTCTTTTTACTGTTATTTTCCACTTCGCAACAGAAGGGGGGCGCTGTTCCGATTCCAACTCAACAAAGACATGCTCTGCTGCAGATTGTAGAGTCAAGAAATTGGAATAAAACAGAGACAGTAATATGAGCCACAATTCTGGTTTCAAGTCAAGCATTTGCAGCTTTTGCTCCTTTTGTCTCTGTAGTTTTCCATAACTGAGGACACATGAATGTAGTTTCTCTCTATTCCTTTTTTTTATGTTTTAGATATCCTCATTGCTCCCAGAGGAATAAACAGCAATATATATGAGCCGTTTTCAGTAGAAGTGCCCTTGTTCTACCTGTCTGTCTTGTTTACAGTCGGATCGGATCTCTCATTGATGCATGTGGGTTTATTAAGTTTTTTTTCTTCCTGCTATTGCTCCTGGCTATAACCACCCCCTCCTCTGTGTCAATTGCCCTGGGCTGCAGCTGAGTTGTTTTGCATTACTCCTCGAGTTCAGGTTGCAAAGCCAAAATCAGTCCGGCTGCTTTTTTTTCCAGCAATGGGAGGGTAGGGGGGGTGTTTATGGTTTCTGGACAGAAACACATGATAGGGATGGACACCCTCTGCTGGATTTTTCAGATTAGTCTTGCTCTCTTGTATCTGCAGCAGCCATGCTTGCATCATTCCTCCACTTCTTTGTGTGTCATCTTGGACCCCTGCTTCGCTCCATATTGCTGCTTGTACAGTGCTGCTGTTTTTAAGCCTGTCTTTGTCTGCGTTTACCTATCCTGCGCCCAAATGACATCACCCGTATTTTTTCATCTCATAACTCCGTTTATGATCAACGCACATTGTAAAAATGTTAATATGGCCCTCACATAAAGCCTCTTCTTGAGGATGAAAGGTCATTTTTACCTTTTTAAAAAGGCAAAAGGTCATTTTCAAAAATGAATTAAGGTCAAGTGGAGAACCTTTCGAGTAGTAAATCCAGTGGGTCAAAACAGATAACAAAAGAACCTAATAATTCTCCTGCTCTGCAGATTTCATTTATTTCGCTAATATCGGATAAAACAGGATTTTCAGAAACAAATACTAGTGTTGAACAACCTCAAATAGTTGTTACCGTACATTCATATTGATTTTTGCACAATTTCTATCTTAGTTAAATAACATGCTGCTTTCATTTTGCACATCTCTGATGTTGCTGCTATTTTCAAATATTGATTACTGTAAAAATGTCTTCAGCTGTATATTGGTTCTTTATTCTCCAGGGGCACAGTATTTATAATGTAAAAACATGTTACAGTAAAGTATTTTATTTGTTATTTTTTATACCCTTTTCTAAGGTCCACATTGTGTGATCATTTTATTCTTTATTCTATTTGCTACTGTAAACACCAGAATTTCCCCATTGTGGGATAATAAAGGGATTTTCTATTCTATGTTCTATTCTAGTTGTCAAAAGTGGTGGTTGGTGGTAGTGTGACTGATGAAAGTGTGATTTGCGCTCTCTATTAAAAAATCCTGGAAGAGAATATTCACCTGGGTTGTGCTGAAGGACGTAGATCCAAAGCTTACCCATGAGCTCAACTCTGAATGTCTCAACCTAAAAACAAGAGCAATAGATTGTGAAAATGTCCTAGTCCAAGCCCAGGTTATATTCAGTCTGATAAACTGAGGTGTTTATTCAAACGGCCTTTCTTGCTCCTAAAACGCTCTGATATGACTCAAAGTGATTCTGTTGAGAAGAGATGGTCAGATTTCCTGCACTGTGAAAAACAACTTAATGCCGGTTTCACTAGATACCAGTTATTCAAAGGTCACACTGACGGTGCTTTTATTCAGCACTTGGATTTTTTTTTGTTTTGTACAGAAAAAATAATCCTTTATCATGTTTTTTTGTATTTAATCAGGTTATCTTTGGTATTAAAATGCTTTTTAAACATTTTGACAAGACAATAAATCTGAAAAAACAAAATAGGAAAAACATCACTTTAACGACACTCTCCTCAATTTTACATGTTGAGGAAAAAGTTGGAGTTAAACCTTTCTGGTTCCTGATCAGTTCTTTTTGACTCGATTATCATGTTTGCTAACCAAAGTGTGTTTTTAACGCCACACAGCTGCTTGGCTGATGTCGCCTTATTTTTTTACATTCTCCCACACATGCTTCTCACCTTTTTGTTTTTCTCATGTGGGCGTTATTACATGTAGACTAGCAGTAAGAAATGCATTGCTTTATATAAAACAAATAGGCTTGTTTTTCATGTAATGAAGGCTGTTTCTGTGTTTGACTTTTAAAGCTTCTTTCAAATCTGTTATATTGAAAGCTTTTTGCTAATTGGTAACTCAATCCCTCATTTTGTTCTCGTCAGCAGACAGATGTTGTGCTAAGAGGTAAGATGTGTCATTTCCTGCTGCATGAATGCTCAGCTTTTCTGTAGTTCCTGTTTCAGTTTGACTTCTGTCAGATTTTGTCCAGACATGTCTGAAATTACCGAAAACTCCCATTTCTTAATCAATTGCGTGTGATGCCAACAATGACAAAGGCTTTAACCTCACTTGGTGCAAGAGCAAATGTCCACACTTATTGTGGGGGTTTTTTTGTGTTGTTTTTTGTTTGTTTTTTAACCGGATGTCAACATTTTTTCTGAAAGGTTCTGGTTTTAGAGGATCTGATGTTTACTCTGTTTATTTTCTCTCAATCACACTTCCACCATTTTGTCTTTGAGTTGTTCAGCATGTCAGAGATTATATTTTTTTGAAAATACAACTTTGAAGTAATTTATTGTGCTTCATTTGTTCTTACTAAGTCAGTTCTTATTCAGTCTGTTCATCAGTGCGATCTTTTCTTTATTCCCAACTAGGGTTGTCAAACGTATCGAAACTCAAAAAAGTATTGATACTGAAATGTTGTATCCGGATACAATACTCGTTTTTAAAAGTATCGATACAGTGCCGTCACCAGTGGCACCTAAGCAGTCATTCATCTAAAGTGCAGAATAGAGGACAATGCACTTTCAGAACACTGTGTGATTGAATAATTCTGTGCACTTTTCAGTTTCAGACTTTTTTTTTGTAATAGGTGTAGCTGCTGAGAATTATTTTTGTTTCTTAACTGGTTTGGCTAGCGTCATTGTTATGTGTGCAAAGCATAGCCAAGGAAGGAACACTTAATTTGAATTTTATACGTTTTTTATCAAGCTTGCTTAATATTGTGCACAGCATACAACCTTTATTGTGTTTATTTATTATATTTTATTTATTAATGAAAATATTTCTGTAGACTTTTGGAGTCTTTGTTTTTATCCTTGTGGTATCGAAAATGGTATTGAGTATCGAATATTTTCCTTAGTATCGGTATCGAGTTGAAAAGTTTAGTATCGTGACAACCCTATTCCCAACATTGAAACTCTGTAGTTCTTTGCATTTAGTCTAGTCTTTCTGTAAACTAACCTTTCCACCAAATACACCGTTATAGCCTAATTTACAGTCCCTCACAAACTCATTCACAGCTCTTTACGTTTACAGCAATATACATAATAGCCACAACCCTGAATTAGAGATTTTAAATGTTAGAAAATCCCAAATGATTGCATAGCTCTTAAAGAATCCCCTGATCTATGAATTAATGTCGGCATAAATCTAGCTGTTCTCTGAAGGCCTCAGAGGTTGAAGAGAATATCAGTGGTAGGGGTGTAAATCACACCCATCATGGTGATTCAATTCAGTATCACTTTCCCAACCCAACGATTTGATTATTTTCGATAATCAAGAATACACCACGGTTCGATTCGATTAATGCTGTAAGCTGTAATGTCGTTTTGCATTTTATTTGAGAAACAGAAGTAGCAAAGTTGTACTCCACCGAGGCCTATGAAAACCTCATTCACTGAAAAATAATCATGCCTCTGTTTTATAGTTTCTGATTCTGCCTTGCATCAAAAAATACTGCTGGAAAGAGGGTAGTGGCTAAAGGAAGCGAGCTAGGAGGGCAAAATAGGTTTAGCGCCACCGCAGCATGGGAGTCAGAATTACGTCCAGAGGCAAATAAATAAAAATGGATTGGAGGAAAAAAAAAAACATGAATCAATAATCTTGCGGACGTGTCGATGCTTTGGGTCGTCGTCGGGTGTTGGATCGATGCATCGATACAAAACGATTATTATTTAGACCCCTAATCAGTGAGCAGACATCATCATAGAGACCAAGGAAGGCACCAGAGGTATCAGGGGTTGAATGTAAAAGCAAACACACCAATACCAGATGAAATGATAAACATAAAATGTCAGTTCCATGAGACCCTGAGGGGATGGGCTAAGTGTGGGGATGATTGGTCTTGGGTTTAGAGGGGTACGGTCAGGACTAGAGAGACGTTAGCCTGGCTAAATCATCAGAACCTTATCAGGTGAAACTGACTCAGTGATGTCTAAAGCAGGTACTGCCTGCAGAGAATAAGATGACTTGCTACAGAAGTGTGTCTGACTGAGGGTGATGGTGCTAAAAGCCTGAACCACCATGTCCAGATAAAAACCAAAAGGAAAATTCCAATGCAGTAACCACGCTTTCGACACTTAGGGCAGCACTAATCTCACGTGAGGATGTCTGGAACAAAAAAAGCACAGTAACATTACAATAGTTGTCATAGACTGGGTTGATACTGTTTGTCTGGAAAAAAAAAAGACAACATAAAAAACAATTTTAAATTTCACTTGAACATTTCATAAAGCATGGTCCAGATTAAAGCTATGCATTTTGATTATTTTTTCTTAAGTAATCGACTAATCTATCAATTTTCTTTAACAATTATTTAAAAATAGATACTTTAAGTAAATAAATATCCCTCAAAAAGCAAACAACACATTAATCAAATATTTTAATAATTTATAAATAGAAAAAAACGTGTAGAAGAAAAAAAACGCAAAAAAAACAAACAAATTAAGTATTTAGAACTTTGCCAAAAAAAATGAATACGATAGTTTTTGCAATTCTTGATAAACTAATAGCTGAATGTGCTTTAATAGATTATCCTTTTAGGGTCATTTGAACAATCTGAAGTTAAAACTACACCTCAGCTAAACTGAAAGATTTTTAATCTAAAAAAGTAAATATTTTTTCATCTAGTTATGGCCTGTTTGCTCCTCTGATTGGATTAAATTCCCTGTTTAGTAGTCTCTATGCTAATTTAACGATTCATGGCATGGTAGTATGGACAACCTGCAGTCACCTTTAGCTGGGCTCGGAAATCTTGTTTGCAGTTTTTCAAAAGAGAAAGAACCAGGTAATTCTTATAATTTTACTGTTTGCCTTAATGCAAAATGCTGTCTGGCTGAAAACGTACAAGAAACGGTGAACTATAGTGATGACGGCATCATGTGGTGGATAGTGAGATAAAGAATAGAAGTAATGCAGGGCAAATTGGCTAGAGGTGGCAGAAGATTGGGGTGTGGAGGTTCACCTTCTATCAGGACGATAACCATAAACATACGCAGAGTTTTAATGGAATAGTTTAGATCAAAAAACAGTAGCCCATTCAAAGTCCAGGGCAGGATCTAATTGAGAATCAATAATAAGACTTTTGAATTGATTTCCATTCATCCAACCTGACTCAGCTTAAGCTATTTTTTTTTTCACCAAAGAAGAGTTGAGTTAAAGTTTCAGTCTCTAAATTATTGACACAATTACAAGATGGTCACCCAAGTTCTGGCAGCTATAAAATGTAGTAATTTTAATTCAATTTAGTCTAATTATATAACACAAATTCACAACACATGTCATCTCAAGGCACTTTACAGACACTACATTATAAAATGGTTCAACAACATATTGACTCAGACAGACAACACATCTGTTATACTTTTTGTAACTTAAAAAAAGTGAAATATTTTTTGCTATTCAGAGGAATGCATCAACATGTGGACCATGAAATGCATTTGCGATATAATAAACATTTGAAAAAACTAAATTTCCAAATAAAAGACAATCAGGTTTTTTGTCATTTTGCATTTAATGAGAGCTGGATAATACATTTTCACTCTTAACCCTTTAGGTGGCAGTAATATGCTAAAGGGAAGGGCTATTAGCTAGCATGCAGATTCATGCATGTTAGCCAGCAGTTAGCGCTCTTTCACACAGCAGTAAAGTCCTGCGACTCTGGACAAGAAAGCATTCAACACCATTAAAAACAAGGAAACCCTGCAGCCAAACATTGATATGCTTGTGGTTAGTACAAATGAAAATAATATCATTAATGTCTAAAAATATATAATTTAGATATTCCCACAGCCCTAACTCGGGTCTCTTTTAACAACAATAAAATACTTTTCTGGTTTTGACATGAGCAAACATGTAAAGGTTAAAGGGCTGGAATACTTTACCAAGCCTTGAATGTAGATTAGCCCTAATTCACTTTCAGTCAATTTAGATTATTTCAATACCAGAACATATTATAGCTGGATCCAGTATATTGTAGATTTTTCTGTTCTTGTGCAAAAGAGAATTTTTCTTTTTTTATTTCTGTCCTGATATTATCTCAATCACCCATTTTGCATGTATCATTTACCCTAGAAATGGAAGTGTGATCAGTCAACATTGCAATCTGAGCTCATTCCACCATGATATGGGAAGGAAATATAAATAGACGTTTGCTCTCTGACATGTAAGGTCCTTAAGAAACGACAAACGAGGCCTGTTTTCTACAGCCTCTGAAATGCTGCTTGGTGCAACAATGTTCCTTTCAGGGATCCGGCCAGTTAGAGCTCCATGGAGCAGTAACCTAGATTCTGCAGCCAGGCATGCTGATCAGTGGTGCTTGTGTTTGAGGAAAAACACCCCGTGTGAATGTGCTCTTGTAGGTCTTTGATTGGCAGCCACCTGTGCACTGCTACATTCCCCTCCTACAGTATTTTTTATGGGTGCTGACAGACTGGAGAAGGTCAAGGTCTGTGTCTGGGCATGTTTCAGTTAGTACCAAGCACCCCCCCCCCCCCAGGTAACTTTGCTTTTCAAAAATCTATAGGATTATGGTAAAGTGCATAAGGACCAAGTGTTTTCAGGTGTCCTTTAGGATCTGAGCTGAGACTATATAGGTCATGAGGTGGAGCTTAGTGGAGGATCAGGCAGCAACCATTGTCCCCTGCAAGGAGAAGTGAAATACCACATGGAGCTTTTAGCCAGATAAACACCCTGCTGAATACTAAAGAGCCATACAGGGCTAAAGGGAAAAACAAGCTCTGTTAGGTCTGGTTGTATGACAACACAGACCTGTCTGAAAGTATTTCCCCCTTATCATGTTTTTGTAAGATTTTCTTAATTTTTTTGTCACAATTGAGCTTTTTATAAGCTGATAAAAAACGAAAATGGAGATGTTGGCTCATTCCCTCTCTCTCTCTCTATGTCTACATCTAGAGGGAATGAGCCAAAATCTCCATTTTCGTATTTTATCGAGAGAGAGAGAGAGAGAGAGAGAGAGAGAGAGAGAGAGAGAGAGAGAGAGAGAGAGAGAGAGAGAGAGAGAGAGAGAGAGAGAGAGAGAGAGAGAGAGAGAGAGAGAGAGAGAGAGAGAGAGAGAGAGAGAGAGAGAGAGAGAGAGAGAGAGAGAGAGAGAGAGAGAGAGAGAGAGAGAGAGAGAGAGAGAGAGAGAGAGAGAGAGAGAGAGAGAGAGAGAGAGAGAGAGAGAGAGAGAGAGAGAGAGAGAGAGAGAGAGAGAGAGAGAGAGAGAGAGAGAGAGAGAGAGAGAGAGAGAGAGAGAGAGAGAGAGAGAGAGAGAGAGAGAGAGAGAGAGAGAGAGAGAGAGAGAGAGAGAGAGAGAGAGAGAGAGAGAGAGAGAGAGAGAGAGAGAGAGAGAGAGAGAGAGAGAGAGAGAGAGAGAGAGAGAGAGAGAGAGAGAGAGAGAGAGAGAGAGAGAGAGAGAGAGAGAGAGAGAGAGAGAGAGAGAGAGAGAGAGAGAGAGAGAGAGAGAGAGAGAGAGAGAGAGAGAGAGAGAGAGAGAGAGAGAGAGAGAGAGAGAGAGAGAGAGAGAGAGAGAGAGAGAGAGAGAGAGAGAGAGAGAGAGAGAGAGAGAGACCATTATGATGCAGAGGGAGAAAACAAGCTTATAAATGTCTGTGCCAGTGAGGGCAGGCCAGTTTCCCTCTCTACATGGGTCTATTTCTCTTGGCCCCCCCGGGCTCCTCAGTCCAGTCCCTCCCATGTTTGAATCTTTTTCGTCCTCCGCTTCTTCGATCTGAGCTGAGCTTCCCTCTTCGCGGACTCCTCAGCTCAGCTTTCATATTAGTTCCTTCATCTGTGCTTCCTCAGTGTAAACCCCCGTTTCAAAGGGCATTTTTGGTGCTTTTCTTCTTTGTTTTCCTCCTACTTTCAGCTGTCTAAAAAGCGTTTCAAATAAACACAAATGAATCAAGCGTCTCGCTTACATTAGATAAACATCAAACAAGTTTTAAGAGGCCTCTTACTCCAGCGAAGCCTGTCAGACATGGCGTCTGTGGAGATGCTGTTTGGGTGCTTATTTTCTTTCCAGGAAAAAGAAAAGTCAGGAATACTTTAACTCTCCCAGGGCGCCGTTGCTCTTCTTCCAAATCAGCCCCTCTTCCTCTGATTTAAGGTGTGGAACATGACTCGGGTCCAAAGCACAGCCTGCTGAGCTCGTCATCACATGGTCCAACATTATTGTGAGCCAAGACGTTCTTGGCTGTAAATTTAAAGGCCAGAGTGGCTCTTCAGGGAAGTCGGTGCTCTGCAGCTCATGTTTTTGTCCATTTTATTCGTTTTAGAAGTAGAATTTATTGGTGGAAAAAAAAAAGGTGACATAACTTCTGATTTCTCCCAGCTGCAATCACACAAGAGATTCTAAACCTACTTGCTTTACAGTGATCCGGTTCTGGGGAAAAAATCAGATTATCTTGGATGTGGGAGCCTTATGTAGGGAAACAAAGGGTGGGGCGTCCTCAGTCAGCCCTGTGGCAACAGACAGCTCATTGTTTGCTTCATTTTCCCAACAGAAACCAATTTATCTGTCCTTTTTGTTCTGGTTTCTGCAGGTGATGGTGAACGGTGAGAAGGAGCGCGTATCCTTGCTGTTCATGAAGGCTCTGGTCAGCAGGGGGAGTGTGGACGCCGTGTCGCAACAGATGGCGTCTCACCCCCAGTATCTGGAGAGCTTCCTGCGCACACAGCACTACATCCTGCACATGGACGGCCCCCTGCCGCTGCCCTACCGCCATTACATCGCCATCATGGTTGGTAACCTGGCTGCTGATATTAAAAGTACTACTGGTTAAAGATTATCCTTATTTAAAAAAATAATAATCTATCTTCTGAACGGTCTGCTCCAGGCGGCAGCAAGATATCACTGCAGCTACCTGGTGTGCCTGCACTCGGCCCAGTTCCTGAGGGTGGGAGGGGACCCTCTTTGGTTGCAGGGTTTGGAAGCAGCTCCCCCTCGTCTTCGCCTCCTTGCCCACATAAACAAAGTGCTGGCGCACCAGCCCTGGCTCGCCACATGTTCCCATATCCAGGTACGAAGAGTTTAAACCGACAAACACAGACCAGCAACAATCTCACAGTAGCTTGCAAAAGCATCCTTTTTATTCATTGCCCTTTGTTCTGAAATGCCTAAATAAAACCTTGTGAAACGAGCTGCTTAGACAAAAATCCATCAACCTGGGTGGAAATGGTGCAACACAACAGCGTTCCACATGAACAGGCTAGGAGAGACAGAAGCTGCAGAGCCTAAAAGTGGAAGGAGGACTATTATCAGACGTTTGTTTAATGTTTGCTACAGGCCGCATGAAGGGTACAGCAAACATCTGGAGGGAGGAGCTGAGATTAAACAAATGTCAGCTTTTGAAACTGGGTGTAAAATACAATGCATGGCAGAGAATTTAATCCACACAATAAATAAAACGTATTAGTGACAACACCATACTGTGGGAGAGGATAGATGTATCACAAGAGAACAGTAGAGATCCATTAATATTCAAAGCCCAGACTTTAAGTTAGGATCTTTGGCCTTAAAGTTAATGTTCACCGAGGCTCTCCTTCCACTCTGTGATTGGTGAGTTATTTGACAAAGAAGAGTGGTCGAACATTTTAGACACTGAGAGCTGTTAGTGGCATAGCTGTGGCTTCAGTGAAGTTCTGACTCCAGGAGGATGAATTCAAATGCAGCGCCATTTTAGATTTGTATCTATTAGAAAAATTTAAACCTTATTTCTTTTTAGTTAGATTAGCAAATTAAGTTCCACAGAAATAACGTTTGTTTTTGACTAAAAAAATCTGGAAATGTCAAAAGGATTCCTGGATGTTTTTGTCAATCGCTGCATAAAAAGATAAAATATCTCCTTTCTGCCACATTCTTCGTTTTCAATCAAAGCGGTGGGTTTTTTTGTCCCCGTGTTCCCCTCAGACGCTGCTGAAGGCAGGCGAGCAATGCTGGTCACTGGCGGAGCTGGTGCAGGCCGTGGTGATCCTGGCCCACTGCCACTCCCTCTGCAGCTTCGTCTTCGGATGCGACACAGACTCGGACCTCGCGCATCTCGCCAAATCTCCAAACGGCACCCCGCCGACCTTCTGCCCCTTCGATGCTGCCAACGGCAACACCAATGTGCCTCAGTCGCTCAGGGCTCCCTCTGAAAATATCACACGGCGACGGGTAAACTAGCCTAACTTTACTGTGAAGCGGCAAAGTGCCTGATTTAGAGATGTGAAATGATTTTATTGTTTTGATCAAGACACTACATAGTGAAGAACAACCAGACTGGATCAGCAGAACCAGATTTCCCCTGAAAATTGAAGCAAATGAACATCAGGCTGCACATTTAACCACGAGAGCATCATGTTCAGTTGTAATCACATTAAAGCAACAACCTGCATGTCTGAAGTGTCCCTAATGTTTTTAATCTTACTCGATTAAGCTTTTTATAAATGAAAGCATGAGACAAGGACAAGCTTAACTTGTCCTCCAGCTATCAGATGATCTTGGCTAAAAACTGTTTGTTTATTGTTTTTGTGTCGACAGTCTTTGGACTCCAGCTGTGACATGGTTTGCCTAAAGGAGAGGATCCAAAGGTCCCAGGAGGAGCAGGAGAAGAGAGAAGAACGTCTCCTCCAGACGCAGACGCTCCCACAAACGGGTAAGCCCCTGGAACAGAAGTAAACAATCAAACGCATGCTGTGTGGCTGTTTACGCTGGGGCGGCTATCCTGGATGTGGCATTTGAGGTCACATGGTGTGAAACTCTAGCAAATGCCCCCTCCTGGGCTCTGCACCGTGAAACGCTTTCTGTCCCTCCCCTCCGTTCCCATCTGCTTTCACAGTCTCCTTTTTTTAGATCTTGAAGATGAGGAAGAGATGCTGTGCTTGGCGGATCCATCACGTTTCGTCGCAGACCCTGATTTCTGCTATCAGGAGTTTGCCTGCAGGGACGAGGACAACCTCCAAGTGCTCAGAGTTCAGGTGAGGGGGGGATGTCTGTAAACGGATATTCTGAGCCTTGCAAAAATATTAAAGGTGCCATAGGAGATATTGGAAAAATGGTTCCACCAAGCTATATTTTTTAACGTGTTTTCTGATCGGTGGGGTTTATTCATTGATTTTACACTGTAGCGGGGACCTTTCATTTTATTTTCACTTCCAGACCTTCTTTATCACTGCTTGCTACTAGGGGTGTGCAAAATAATCATCATGATGATACATCGTGATTCTAAATTTCGTGATCTACTGCATCGATTCTTGACGCCAAGTACCGATTATTAATTTAAAAAAATTAATAAATAAAATTGCATGACTGGTTGGTGAACATCAGCCAAAAACAAGTGTAATACAACTTCCAGTCCAGTAGATGTCGCTGCGGATGTGTTGACGCATGCTGCCTTGTGTCACAAGCATTGCCGGCCGCGGGATACTGCGCCGAGTCATTCAAAAACAAAACATGGAGGAGAAAATATTGCAATGCATCGCAATAATTCATGTATCGTGATGCATCGTGATAGAATCGCATCGTGGCCTGTGAATCGTGATTCGAATCGAATTGTGACCTCTTTGGCAATACCCACCCCTACTTGCTACGCGACTGTGGGGAGATCTTCAACCCACATGGTAAAAAATGCATCAGAGAAGATCTCCTACTGCACCTTTAACACTACTGGACGCTTCAGTGTCTTATCAAGATTTTATGTTACAAATTCTGACATTGGAAGTTATAGAAAAGTTCTTATTTTTCACACCACACCGCAAAAAGTATGCTGTGAACTTTAATCAAGCTTAACCATTGATAAAATCCGCCACTTGCTTTCAGAATTCACCTAAATGCACTAAATTTAGCTAATAGCTTTTGCCTTTTTTTTTTTTTACTTTTGGATTCTGTGATTAGGGAGTCTGATCATTTATTTATAAACCTTATATTCAGGTAAAGCTAAATTTTTAGAAACTTCTAAATTTAAAGTCTGCCTTCTCATACAAAACAATGGGATTATGTTTGACAGAATTGTCTTTTTATTTTGTCATTTGACTGCAGGACTACTCCTGGGAAGTCCACGGTTTCTCCCTGATCAACAGATTGTACTCAGACATCGGGCATCTCCTGGACGACAGGTTCAGGAGCGTCACATCCCTCCCATCGCTGCACAGCTCCGACCTGAAGAGGGCGATCTGGAATTACATCCATTATGTCTTAGGGATACGGTAAGGCTCCGACTCCATTCAAGAGCATCATCTAAATCTTGTAGAAGGTATATGTGTTCTCACTTCTGACAACAGTTGTGACGACTACGACTACGGGGAGGTGAACCAGTTGCTGGAGCGAGATCTGAAGCTCTACATCAAAGCTGTGGCCTGTTTTCCAGACGTCACCAAAACCCCGGTGTGTCCGCTGAGTTGGACTCTGCTGAAAGCCTCTGACAGGGTGAGAGGGTTTTTCTCCAGGCCTGTTAACAAAAAACAGGTCTAGTTGTTTACCTTGAAAATGATACCCTGTGATTAATACACAAGTTAGGAGGTTTGTCAAAAATGTGAAATCGGTTCCCTACAGCAGGGAGTCAACCGTCTCAGAGGAGGAGCAGTGGATGCAAATTATTTGGAAATTAGTAAACATACATATGAGCAACATGGAGACCAAATATGTTGGATGTTGATGGGAATTAGTATTTTAATGAGGCCATTAGTTGATGTTAAGCTCCAGTTGCGGCTAAAGCTGGTTTAACTAAATACTGAAATGCATTCAAACACACCAGTCTAGATTTTTAAATATATGCCACTACCCTTCCACTTCTTATTTAGTGTTACTTTTTGTTGGTCTTTCGCTTAAAATCCACTTATAATTAACGTTTTTCATGGTAACAAGGCAGAAAGTGAAAAAGTAGTGAATTCTGAATAATGAGGGCTGATTTTAAAGCAACCCTGCTACAGCTTTGGATCTGACCGTCGGTGTCTCCCGTCCTCAGATACACGTAAACTTGCTGATCATGGAGGCGCGGCTGCAGGCAGAGCTGCTGTACGCGCTGAGAGCCATCACTCGGTACATGATCGCCTGAGATGCTGGTGGAGTTCAAGCTGTCTGCCTGTACAGAGAGACCCCAGAGAGGACGAGGAACAGGAAGCGGCACATCTGATGTCCCAGAGATCAGCTGATCATTGGGCGGTGGCACTCTTCTCAGATCTTAATGTTAATTGACCCACGCCGACCTCTGCTCATCTCTTCCCGTTCTGCTGTTCAACCTCTCTGAAAACATCCTGCCTCTCTCATGGTTATGTGCAATTCTAAGTAGTTATTTTCAAATGTCTCTGTCGTCTGTTCCAGTTAAGTCTGTGAGAAGCTGCCAGTTTGCAGCATTGTGTTATCAGTGGCCAACACTCCTATTTTTCCATTAGAAAAGTCTCTTTTTGTATTAACTATGCTCCCCTCTCCAAAAAAAAACCTTTTTTTTTCTACAAGGTGATTGATTGTTAATGGAAGATCAGGGGTTTTCATTTTTCTGACAATCTTTGTCAGTTTTGAAGGACTTTATTGGACTGAAGGACAACAGTTTTATGCTCCCTGACATTTCGTATTAATGCTGGTCGAGAGCAAACAGCTGGAAGTTATCGCATCACTATAGTTTCTTTTAATAAGCACTTTTTTAAACTTTATATATTTATAATGCAATGTAGCTGATGAGTTGACATTGAGGCAAAGTGTGTGGGTCCGATGCCTTTCTTCTCTTCCTGTTTTATTTTTTTTATTTTAAGTCCCAGGTTCCCAATCGGAGGTACACAATTTACAATGTTTCTATTTACAGTTTGTTTTTTCTCTTTCTTCTTGCTTTGTTTTTTTTTTTAATGTGGAGACAGAAGAATTTTAAAGATGGTGGACGTAATAGAAAATTGTGTAAACTCATCTGAGAAGCTGAGCCACTCAGGGAGCCCCGATACACTCCCTAACAAAAAGTTACAGAAGAGTTTGAGTTCTGTTTAAATTGCATGTGTAGGTTTTTGCATTTGTACATTTTTAAAGTTTAGTTGCGTCAGAATTCGTGATCTGAGTCTGGAGAGCAAAAAAAAAAAAACGATAAGCAAACTCTATCCTTTTTTTTTATTTGTTGTTTTTACATTTTTCTTTAATTACTTTGCGTACTCCCAGGTATGAGTGTAGGACCTGCTCGATGCACTGCAGCCTGAGTAGATGTGGATGTTTCATACTGTGTCGGTTTATGATTTAGTGAGGAAGTAAGTGCATATCGATTTAAAGCAAAAGCTCTGTTATAACACAGGTGCCTTTAGGCGGGAGGAACTGGAGCGCTGCTCAAGTGGAGGGCTGTTACTGCTGGAGGCTGGACCGGAGTATCCGTCAGAGGTTACTCTGAGTGGAAACGGATAACTTCTTTTTCCTCTTGGAAAATGATAAGTTCTTATAAATATTCCAAATGTGAAGGCACGTTTCTATCACCTTCTGCTTAAGTCCCAGCATCTAGGCAAGAGCCTTCGACACAGATGGATGTTCGAAATGTTCAACTTTAGCAGACAAAGAATGGATGACATTTCAAAACAAAAAGTACAAAAACAGAATAACTGAAAATGAAAAAAAAAAAAAGATTTTTTGAAAGTGTAAACATGTTTTCTATAAAATTGTACCTTCAAAAAAAACCTGTCTGTTTTCCTTTTCTAATGAGTATTTCTTCCAGTTTGGTTTTTATCATCTTTTTATAAACCTTTCACACATTAACTAAAATACAGCTGTCTCTAAAAGTTTTCAAATTAATAGATTTTTTTTTAAGTTTGTAGCTTCAGTCTTAGTGGTGAGTTCATGTTGGAACAGAGACTGAGCAGATGAAATGCAAATTTGATGAAAACTCACCACATTTTTGCATTAATCCTGCTGGCATCATTTTTGAAGTCTTACAAATGGGGGGGAGTGTGTTAAAAACAGGGCAGCTGAATGACATTAATATATTGTCCTTTATATCTGCAAGCAAAAAAACATGCCTCCATCACTAAAGATATTGCTGCCAGAGATTGCACTCAAAATCAACCTCTTACCAAATCACCAAGCACTGAAGCTGCTGTGAGGGTTTAAAATGTGGGATCAGGTTCCCACCAATGCAGAGCTTGTTCAGAGATGGCGAGCAGGTAACCAAGGAGCCACTAACATCAAGGTCAGATAGACAATGAAGAGAACTACAGTTCTTTTTATAGCTCCATTAGGAGTGTTTGGGTTATCTATGCATTGTTTTAGGACCTATCACTGCTATAGTCTTCTCCACCAGCTGTGTTTCTTCAGCTTCATCATGCTGTTTGTTCACTAATGTTCTCTAACAAACCTTCACAGAACAGCTGCAGTTACACAAAGGCTAACCTCCACATAAAATACCAAATTTCCCATTGAGAGGGGTTCTTAAGCAGATGTCTTCTTTTTTTTTTTGTTTTAGCCAGGGGTCAAATTAAAGGGGGCGAAATACAACTTCAACATTTTATGCAGACAATACAAAAAGGTACTCTTCTGTACATTTTTAATGTTATTACATCAGGTAAAGTTAACTAGCTACTAGTGCTGTGAAGGACTGAGACATTTTTTGTGAAATAATAGAGAGAGTCTGTGGTCACTCCTCCAAATAACTCCAACCTACAATCCAGATTCAGGAGGGAAGGTTCCTCATCACTCATCTGACACAGAATAAAGTCCAAGATATTGCAAAACTGACACTTTTTATCAGTTTTATTTTTTGTAGTAGTAAAAGCCTGAAATGTTTACTTTATAAAACAAACAAAAAAAAAAAACATCAGTGCAACTGCTACATGTGAAAGGTGGTAACTTAAGTGCTGTTTGACTAAATAATGCTTCCATTAAACTGGTATTACTCATATTGAACTTTTTAAATATGTTTTTAATCCTTCAATTTAACCAGAACACGTGTTTATCGTAATGATGTCTATTTATTCACTGGATAGCTGATAGTGATAAAAACTGGTCACCTGCCGCCATCTTGGTACTCCCCACTTTCACGTAGTCGCGCCAAAAAAATGCCTACTGTAATGTTATTACGATAACAATGTAGTCAATACATGTATAATATAAGCACATCATCAGGTAGTGTAAGTATGTTTACCTTAATTTCTGACTACAGTATTATGTCCCATTAACACTCATTTTGTTGTGATTTGTATATTACATGATTTATAGACGTCATACTGAATATGCAATGTGTCTATTTTTTTAACCATAATTGCAGTAGTCTATAGATGCTATCAAACATCAACTATGTGTCAAAGTGGTCATTTTATCTTTTTTTCAAGTCTTGTTTACATTCCAACCGGTCTAACTAGGGAGTACCAATATGGCGACTTCACAACACTACCAACGGCCAATCAGCAATCCAGTATGCTGATTGAAGTAGCCGGAGCAACAGCGCCCTCTAGTGACTTGGATCTGTTCTGCAGCGTCACAAAGGAATCAAACACAGTGGGTTAAACAGTTTATTGAATTGATGTCTGATTTTCTACTTTTATTTCTGTCTGTCTTTACAAAGTGTAAAGAGAAAAAAAAAAGAAAAAAAAGGAGAGGAAGAGAAAAACAAATATTCACATGATTAAAACGTTTCCCAACGCAATCTTTTAATGATGTAACAAATGGGGGAAGATTAAATCAAAAAAAAAAAAAACATACAGGCACTAACAGCTACTTTAAAAGAATGGAAATATGTAGATAGCTGTCAACATGAGAGAAGTTAAAAGCCAGGTGATAACGTCACAAAGGCAGCAGCTGTAAACTGGAGGGGAAAAAAAGCTGCTGCAGCCTCTCAGCTGTCAGGTATTGGTTAGTCAACAACAAAAAAACACACGACAGGTTGCATACACGACTCAAATAAGTCCTGATAATAATTTCCAAAATCATGCATGCTTAAAAAAGTCAATCTTTTGTTTCCAGGTCATGTTATTGTACACGTTCGACAGAAGAAAACAAAGCACAGGGGGAAGGGGACTGATTGTATCCTAACTACAATAATCAAAAATACAAAGGCCCTGATATGCACAAACTGCACTGTCATACTTGATATCCTCTAGCACCATTATTTGCAAAAACAACAAGATATAAAACATTTGTGTGGGAAGAAAAAGAGTGCTTTACCATATTTTTTTTGTTTATTTTTTTTTATGGGGAAACAGTGAGTCCAAGAAACGGGGGTGTTATTTCTGAGCATAAAATCAACTAAAACAAACACAAAATGTTAGGAGAGGGGAGAAAACAAAGTATTACTACAAAGTAACATCATGCTCTAGTGTTGTGGGTATTGGCAGTTAAAACAACAAGTACAACTAGCACTGATACACATGGCTAAACATGAATACACTTACAAAAAATAAAATAAAACCCAGCAAGTTTAATTTGAGATCATTTTTTTTTCTTAAATCAAAGACACGGCCTGTTGGGTTTCCAGTCTTGTGCAAAATAAATAGGTTTCGCTATCATTCGATTACATCTGCATGCAGCCGTTTTCCTGCTTGTCTTCTGAGAGGTAACTCGTTTTGAGATGAGAACCAATGTTTTAGGCGCAGATTCAAAGAATTAAGCAAATAAAAAGAGCACTAGGCAGGTTGGCTAGGAATCATAGCTAACATGATCAAGTACTTGCCTCATTTATTTACCTGATAATAAAAAATAACATTACAGGTCTGCTTTGCAAAGCTTATGTACACAGAAGAAGCTGTGTCAGGCCTGCGTGTTCTTTAAATGCCATGCAAAAGCAAATATTAGTGTTCCTTTGGTTATGTAGAAAACAGTTCTGTATGTGTGTCACCCTTTACAAAAATAAAAGTATAGAAAATCACCGTAAAAAAAAAAGATCTGTGAATGTTTCCTCCAATGTAAAATAATAATAAAAAAAAAACATCACTCGTCATTAGTAATATACTTATTAATATCTGATTTATCATCTCAATCTAAATTGTACATTAAAACTATCATCAAATATATTCTTTTCTGGTACCTCTCACACTGTGATTTAATTGCTTTAATGTTAGTATTTAAAAATTAAAGTGTGAGAGGACACTTACAAGCTCTCACTCCATACAAAAAAAAAAAAGCAATTTGCAGCATCTTGTTTAAAACCATGCATGCCTCTTGAACTCTTTCCACTGTTTGTGGTGTTAATATCACTAAATTCAGTTTATTTTATTGGGATTTTGTGTAATAAACCAGGAGAAAATTAGAGCATAGATGGGAGAGGTGAAAGTGTAGCATACACCTGCATTCTGCCAATTGTTATCTTTTACATCCAAATTAAATCCTGTGCCATCACTTCCCTTAAGTAAACAGATCATTAATCAGGGATGACAGATTAGTCCTGGTAGCTCCAGAGCAGCAGAGACCCACAGCTCAGGCAGTAAAACATCTTGACAACTATTAGCTGGGATACTATACAAATCTTAACTTTGTGGCAAGGTTGTTAAAAGGGAAAAAAACTATTATTCACTATGCATGTTGCTACAAGCCCTGTAGGGGGCACAGCAAACCTGCAGATCCTAAAACTAACATCCAGAACATTGCATCTCTACTAAGAAACATGGTAGAGGCGGCATCATGCAGCTAAATTGGAGGAGGAAGCAGGAGGGACGTAAACATGAAATTTTATGCAACACTGTCTTGAATTAAATCTAACAGATGTTTAGTACAAATTGGTGTTAAAGACGACCAGTCCAATGAGCTGGTTTTAAAAGAAAAAAGGACAACGCTCTGTAGATTTACCCCGACAGACTTGCAGCTCTAAAGCTCCGCACTCTGCCTGAACGGAGGAATTCACTTTACCTCCAGGTATTCATCCTCCACTAAAGGGATGTTGTATAAAGAGAGAAAAAAGATTTAAAAAATAATAACAGGGGGCTTTAAAGTCCAGCAAACTATCATTAACCTTCCATTTCCAAATGACGTGTTGATCTTTTACATAAAATCCCAATAGAATAAAATGGATTTTGTTATACTTACATGAACAAAAGTTTTTTAAAAAGTTTAAAGGGAATGAATACTTTTACAAGGCACCATATCAGGAAAGGTGTTAAACAGCAAAAGCCTTCGATTTCCTTCAAGGTTTTGTTTTCCTCTCCTGATAGGTCTGCATAGCGTGCCGTCAAGTACAGGTGCAACATGTTTATTACATTGTCTCTTTTAAACAATTATATACTCTTATTATTATTATTATTTGTTGAAATGATATACACTCACGTGTCTTTTTTTTAGTTTGGGGTCCCTGTGTAGCAGGAAACCTAAGTGCTTTTAAGAATGCACAGACTCAAGGAGAAAACAAGGAAGAAGACCCTAAACAATGATAGGGTAGACGATTTAGACAATGGAGGCATTCTGGTTGCTCGCTTCTTACCTCTGAAATGCCCCATATTTCAGAACGCATATTGGATTTCTTCGTTGTGTTAGTTCAACGGCACATCAGGGATTCAAGGGAAAAACAAAAACACCCTCTGCTTTCTACTATAACACACTTATCAAAAATGCCAAACTGAAATGGAGTTTAAAGGGAACGCTGGGCGAGATGTAAAGCCACGCTAACACCACAGCTCATCCAGTCCTTAGTCTTTCTCATCACAACACTCTGAGCCTTTAAAAAGTTCCTGGAGTCTGTGCAGCTGGATCATGTGCACCTCTTTCAGTCGGTTGCACAGGATCTGGGCTGATGAATCGTCTTGAGCGAGCGCTGGTGCAAAACTGGCCATTTCTCCAAAAAAAAAAACATGAGGAAAAAAAAAGTGTTAAAAAAACCAGCGCCAGCTTGATCTGGAAGTACCATCTCTACAGCTGGTGTAACATGACATGAAATGCGACCTCCGTGCACAGCAGAGGCAATGATTTGTCTTTACACTGCAAATTTTTCTCATATATAATCCCACATCTTTTGCAAAAGAAAAAAAAATCATCACTTCAGGTTCTTAAGAAAAAACATGGCCAGAAGCCAAACTGTTGCCAAGTTTCAAGAAAAAAAATCCTCTGTGCACCGTAGTCTGAAACTGCTCCCTGTTCTCTGCACGTCTTGGCACATGACGTCGGTCAGGCCTAGATTCGCCGTTTTTGAAGTTCTTAAGGGAAAAAAAAAAGAGAGAGAGGGTTCAGGCGGCAGGGAGGAGGAACGAACCAGTTGTTCTGCTGTTTTAGTGAGGTTATGTGGAACGGAGGTCAGTTCCTGCAAGACAAGACAATCAACACCAGGGTCATTTATGCCAGAGATGATCTCCAATTATGTCATTACAAATTTATATATTTATACATGCAAGTGTGGAATAAATGTATTTAGCCTCCTTCAATGCAGCTGGGTCCTTCAGGAAGTATCTCTACCATCTTTGCACATGTAGAGAATTAATTATTTACTCATTCTTCTTTATAAACTCAGCCAGACTGGATAGAGAACATCTAAATCTCTCCATAATGGCTCCTTATTTGTTTCCTTTTAGCACTTCCCTCTTTATTTCTTCCTATTATTTCTGACCAGCTTTCTTCTCCCTGCAGGATAAAATACCCCCCACAGCATGATCCTGCCACCACCGAGTCTCACTGCACTACTGTGTACTTGGGGTGATATGCAGAGGTAGTATTCAAGTCTACAAAGTTAACCAAAAAAGTTTAGTTTTATTCTAAACTGTTGGAAGGCAAAATTTTTGCTGTTAGCCGTTCCGTGGGCGTCTTAGCACCGTCGTTGATGTGCCAAACTCAAATGTAAGCCATGCTTTAAAGATTTTCATCTGCAGGAAATAAAAAGTGGGAAACTAAATGTAAGACAATAATACACTAAAGCTTTTTTAATTGCTGTGTTATGGTAAAATGGTAGGGATGTCCTGATCTGATGTTGGAATACATATCAGCCTGCCTCTAAAATCTCATAGAAACATTTTGCTTCTCTTCGCTTTTCTATAAAGCTTCTCTAACTCTGATGAATAAGAAATGGGTCAGCTGGTCTAATACCTGATGATGTTAAATAATGTTCTGTTTGAGAAACTTTTTTTTATCATTCCATGCAATAAAAGTGTTCACGATTGATGCTGATATTGTAATGCTCAAAGCTGCATTATCGGCACTGTATCGGAAAAGAAAAAGTTGTATCCGGACACAATTCTAAAATCGTTTAAGGGATTTTGTAAGTTTTGTTTTTATTAGAAACGATGAGTTCAGAAAGTAGTTACATCTAGAACACATGCAGAAATACGTGTAGAGATTACCAGACCGTTTGATAGCGATGTGAATGTAATCAAATATAAAATGCTGACGTCAAACTTTAAATTTAACTTGTTTTTCCAGTTCTGCATTTTGATCTTTGGTTCCTTCACATAGCCTGCTCTAAGCATTTAGAAATTACATTTTTAGTTTTAAGTTTAATTATGTTCCTAGGAAGACAAGTGTTTAAAACTATATAAGCTAGGAGGTTTCTGTTTTTTTTTTTTTTTTTTTTTTTTTACTGGGTCTCATTCCTAATAAAAAGGCCCCCAGCATCTCTTTTTGGAGGAAAAACACGAGGAGGAGGAGTCGGTGTACCTGGCAACGTTAGCATGTTCAGCCGCAGGATTAGCTGGGCACCCAGTTGTGAGCTGAGCCTTGCGTAGTGGTCGGCCCCGTGTAGCCTTGGCCCCCAGGCAGGATGGGGTCAAAGTTGAAGTCAATGGCGTCTCCATCCATCAGGTCGCTCTTAATAATGTAGTCCACGTCACAATCCAGGTTCTCTGTGAACATGTCTATGTCCAAGTCTGTGGGTAGCCTATCCTGAGCAGCTGGGAAGCCGGTTGGAGCCCCAAAGTGACTCATCCCTGGAAAGCTCATGGTCTGATTGGCTGAGGGGACTGGCCCAGCGTGATGAGAGCTCATGACCTGAACTGCGGCCTGGTGGGATTTTAGAGCAGAGAGTGAGTTTGGATCCTGGGACATTCCAGAGAGGATCATCCCAAGGCCAATCTGAGAGTGATGCTGGTGCTGCTGCTGCTGCTGCTGGTGGTGGAGATGATGCTGCTGAGGCTGCATCTGGCTCTGCATCGCCATTGGTGCCACAGTGTTGGGCTCCAGCCCTTTGTTCAGCTGTAGCTGGTTGGGTTTGGGTCTAACACCCAAACCCATCTGGCTCAAACTTCCAGAGTTAGTCAGAAGTGGGCTGACCTGGGTCATCAAAACGTCATTGGGAGGAGGAGAGTCAGAGGTGAGCAGCGCCTCCAGGCTGGAGGGAACATGGCTGCTGTAATGGCTGCTTCCATGGGAGCTGGAGCTGGACATGGGGTTGAAGAGGGAGTTGCTGAAGGTGGTCGGCTCTTTGCTGGTTGGGCCACACAGAGAAACAGAGGCCTGGGCCCCGGTGTGAGCGGGGGCCTGCGCCATGCTGGTAGCCTGCAGCTGATGGAAGGAAGGGAAGCTGGATCCCCGTGGCAGCAGGGTGGAGGCAGAAGGCAGCGGAGTGGGAGGCGCCGGTGGTGCTGTGCTTGGACTGGCGGCGCCCTGCTGCCCTGTCATTAAGGTGAGGTTGTCGATCAGATCCAGCTCCTCCATGACTGTCTCAGTGAGTGTGGGGGTCAAGCTACTGGAGGCGTATCTCCCCAGCAGGCTGTCGTCGGGGAGGGTGTCATCATCTTCTTGGCCGGGTGCGATGGGGGACAAACGTCCACTCAGGGTGCTGGCGTTGGAACTTGTGCGAGGGCGAAAAGTGGTCCACATGTCGGCATCATCCAGGCTGCCACGAGAAGAAGGGCTGCTGTTGTTCACACCCCATTTAGGAAACTGCTGTGATGAGTTTGGGCTGTCTGCACCTGCCGAACCGGCGCCAGCATCCCCCCCGGCGCCAGCGGCCCCGGCCTGCTTCTTGGTCTGTTTGGCTCTCATGCGACTCTTCAGCAGTTTGCTGCTGTTATCCATGGAAACGGCTCGGCGACGAGGCGCCTTTCCCGTCTTTCCTCCTTCGGGGTTGAGCATCCACCAGGAGCTCTTTCCAGTAGATTCATTGTGCACCCTCAGAAACTTGTTGTGGAGTGATAGGTTGTGGCGGATTGAATTCTGAGGCGGAAGAAACAAGTCAAATCAGATACAGACTGAAGTAAAGGCAAACAGATTAAAAAATAAAAATAAAAAATCTGGATCAATATCAGAAAAAGCTATATCTGTGGAAATTATGAGCTAAGTAAAAAACAACTAAATGCTAAAGCAACATTGCAATTATTAGTTTTTGTTCCATATACACCTTTGTAGAACTTTGTAGGAAGACTGGAAGCATGATATTAAAAACAAAAACCTAAAAAAATCATGTTGAAAACTTTGGAGCATATTAAAAACTCAGCAGCATGAACAACAGCGTGAAGCTCATGCAGATGTTTGACTACAGCTATTTCATTGAAACCAGTTAGAAACAGAAAAAAAAAAAAAAATTACGCTTTCAAAGCCCATTTCTCTTCCTACAATTTTCAAAGTCTTTTTAATGGCATGCAAGTAAAACACTGATGGCCAGCTGATGTCTCCAAAAGGTTCCCATGGCAATCAAGGAAAACAAATCCTGGCGTTTAGATCCAGCGATTGCAGAGACTGAACGAGCGTTACTCCATAAAGAGCTGAAATTGTAGTATTACAATAGTATTATGAATTAATACAAAACATAATAAAGCAATAAGATCAAATTAAATACTGTTTTTGCTCAACTACTTTGACTTCTGTAGTTTTTAATTTGGGCTCTGTGGCTTGCCATACAGCGCGGCACTAGGTTAGCAGCCAGACTGACTTACAATAAGCATAAGTGTGACATTATGCTACAGAGCTTTCTGTAACCATAACAGTCAAGATTTCAGCTCCAATTGAGTTATGTTGTTATTGATGCTATTGAATGTCCTGAAAAACCTGTTTATATCCTTAAAATTTCTGGCTGCTGTAAGAGTTTCTCTTTTTTTTTTTTTAAAGCAATTTGAATGTCAGATCCATAGTTATCCAAAAAGGTTCTAAGCCGTTTCTGCTGATTCTGTTAGCCCAGACTCTGAAATTAGGCTCTACCTGCTTCTTCACAGACTAACTTACCATGTAGACGGCATAAACTAGTCTGGTTTCTCACCCTCTGAGTGAAGTAGCATCAGACCAGTCTACATGTTACAGCGCCGCTTTGGCTTTTGATGTGTGCTTTGAAACCATTCAAAACTTCCACTCTTTTTAAAAAAATAAAGATTTTCAATGTATGCTTCATTTTCAAGTTAGCCCAACTTCATTGTGCTGCTCTTTACCTTTGCTGTTCAATCCAGGCTTATATAAAATCTTTAAGAAAATTTTTGCTATCCGATTAGAACAAAATATAACTTTAAAAAAAGATCAAAATAGAACTTTATTGATCCCACAACTGAGAAATTCATCCCTGCATTTAACCAGTCGCCTTCGGGGAGCAGTGGGCTGCCACTGTGCGGCACCCAGGGAGCAATGTGAGGTTAAGGGGCTTGTTCAGAGACCCGGATTGCAGGCTGGGAGGATCGAACCGGGTACTTGCAACCTTCTCAGAGCACAAGAGCACTGCTCTAACCACTAGGCCAGGGGTCTTTAATATTTTCCAAGCCAAGGACCCCCAAACTGATGGTGAGATGGAGCGAGGACCTCCTAATTATATATATTGTATGAAATTGTGTTATATCAAACTGGTCTTATAGTCACTCTCATTACATTACTCCATCTGTAATAAAGTAATTTCTCCCTGGGATTATTAAAGTATTTCTGATTCTGATTCCTGGTTGATGGGTGTTGTGAATGAAACGGTGCCCAGCTTGAAAGAGCTCCTGTGTGTCGCTGAATGTGTGCATTGATGACTGAAAGCCATCTTCTGCCTCCATTTATCTGTTTACTTCAGTGTGTTGAATTCATGTTAATGTGAATTTAAAAACATTTTAATTAGTGGAAAAAATTGCAGGGGGGAATATGGAAAAAAAAAAAAAAAAAGTCTAATGAACCAAAACTTTTGCGACCCCCATGCAGTACCTCCGTGGACTCCCTGGGGGTTGCGGACCCCCTGTTGAAGACCTCCGCACTAGGCCACCACTTCCAAATTAGAAAAATATTCAAAAAAATAAATTAATTCATTTTGAAGTATGGGCCCCTCTTAGATGCTTGGGTAACTATAAAAAGCATACAATCTATGATCTTTCCAAGATTTAAGATAAGATAGATTTTTTTTCTTACTTTTAATGTAATGCTGATTCTGTTTTGACTTGTTTAAGAGATACAAAAAAAAGTGAAACACCTGATTTACTGTTGTGAACATCAGAGCTCACCTTCCATCCTGCAGAGCTGTTGCTGTCTCCCTTGTCTCTGAAGTAAGGCACAGTTTTCACCATCCAGTCATAGATCTGAGCCAGGGTCAGCCTCTTTTCCGGCGAGTTCTCTATGGCCTGGCTTATCAGATCAGCGTAGCTCTGGTTCCCCCACGCGTTGCGCCGGGAGGATCCTTTGCGGGGCGTCGCTCCGGCTCCACCCACACCCATCACGGCGCCGCCCTCCTCCGCTGCAGCCGCCGCGGCAGCTTTCTCTGGCTCGGAGGTGATTTGCTGCGGTTCGGGCTTGTCCTCGTCGGCTGCGGGCGGGGTCCCAGCGGCGGACTCGGCCCCGTCCGCCCCCTCCGCTTTGACAGCAGAGATGTCAGGTCTCGGGAGCGGCCACGTGCAGGAGCGGGGTCTACTCTGGGGCTCAAAATCAGGGTCGATGGGTGGCATGGAAGAGTCCTCCATGTTGGTTCTCGGAACTTCAGCTGAAAAAGTTCCCTTATGGTTAAAACGTTTTAAATATCACAACAACAACAAAAAGTTTGTGAAAAGCAACAAAATAAATATATTACAAGTACCTCAATCAAGGGGCTTCAATAGAGGGGCCTGGAAAGGAGACACGGTAATCTGGACACACCAATGGCCTCAGTTAATCCTCAGATTGGAGATTAGGGAACCCAAATAATCTCCTTAATAGTAACTATCATAAACCTTCCGATTTATAAACAAAGAAGAAGGCTGCCTGAGTCTCTTTGTTTCAATGAAACAAAAACAGAGGAGTGTCATTGAGCAGCAAAACATCTGGATCTACAGCGGTTAGAGCTCATCTGAAATATGAATATAGAAACGTGTTCTGTATTCATCTCAAAAATATATATATGTATGGATATAAAATATTTTTTCTAATTAAAATATATATTTATAATTGATCGAGAAAATATTCTGTACCAAATTTCTGTTTTTTCGTTAGAAATTAATTTAAAAAATTGTTTGTGGAGTCTGTTTACATATCAATAAAAATAGAACTGATTAAAAAGTAGACAAAGTGAATATTAAAGATAGCAGATAATAATAGCAGTAAAAATGAAACAAATGTCTGAGGAGCGACAGAATGAACAAACAGTTCTGAGACTCTGTCCACTGTCTCTGTGTCCTTTCGGGGATTTAAACATCCAAACAGCTGTGAAAACAGCACAGGACAATGGGAATGTGCTTTAATATATCCTTTAAAAGAAGTTTATAACAGAAAATATGGATGAGTATAAAAGTAGTCGGTCTGCGCCTTAGGTCCGCTCCATGCGCCACATCGCGGCCAGACGCATGTCACCAACTGCCATGTTTCTCCCGCAGTCCTGCCGCCTCACACGGTGCTCAAACACTTCACAAACACACCGCTCCCGATCATCCGCTGTAAGCTTCGTGAACTTTGTAAAGGAATCCCCCAGTTTGTTCCCGGGAACTCCGTGGAGCCCTCTCGTCAGCAGGTCTGTCGGCTCCCCGCTCGCCGCACTTTCCAACCAGCAGCGATAGCCGCCGTAACGCTAGCTGCTTAAGCTCCTGCTACTCCAGAGTTTACAATCCGTGAAAAAGTCCGCGAAAAAAAACAAATAAGCTTCTCCAAGCAGCCGTTTTACTTCCGATAAGAGTTTCGAGGAACTTTCCACCGTCGTAGCGATCCAAATACTCGCTTCTGCGCTCTCTTTTTTACTTATTTTGCTTTGTTTTGTTTTGACTCGAGGCGAAGACTCCCTTCTGACGTCTGTTTACCACTGTTAGGCAACGCGCTCTGCGCATGCGCACAGCGGCATGCTGGGAAACCGAGTCCTCCCCATGTGTCAGACAGCGCTGGCTTAGCGGCTCCTAGTCAACATGAACCTGCGTTATGTAATAGTTTATGAAGGAGTACTGAGAACACTTTGTCCGTTTAAAGTGATTACTCGCAATTAAACTCTTAAGAACAACAACAGCTCACAAAGCCATAGACTATACAGTTTCATAGTTCCAAATTATTATTTATGTCATGTTCTCATCCAGAGGCGTAGCCAGAAATTTTTTATAAGGGTGGCCAGGCAATAACTAATGTACACTGAGGGGTGGCCGAAATTAGATAGGCACACTGTTCCAACAGGAAAATTAACAAGCAAAACATTCATATATCTGCCCACAGCCTTTTCTAACAAATAGATGAATATATTCAAACATCTGTGCTGTCTAGATAAAAGGTATAGTGGATAAAATTCTTTTCAGTTTGAGTTTTGGTGATCATCTTCTCCATTGTCATTACTTACCTACTTTTATCAGTACTCATTCGGCAAAAACTTTATATTTACAAGTAATAATATCACATTAAATGATTATTTAATAAGTTTTTATTTAAATAGTTGTTTATCTATGATTTCACTGGAGAGTCCTAGATGACTGGCAGAGACACATAATTTTCTCTTTACCCCATAAAACACAAAATCTATTTATGCTTGAATTCTGTACTTATCATTTTTAATGTTAGTATACTGATGTGCATAATTAACCACAGTGTTTTTGTTGTCAAGTAACTGGTAATATATGAAAAATGTAAATGTTTTGAATATTCCACTTGAGAGTATTACTGCTGCCACCATCTGTTTTAGAGGGAAATAAATGCTAGGGGTGGCCACAGGGGTGGCCAATGATTGGTTAAGGGTGGCCATGGCCACCCCTGGCCCCCCATCTAGCTTTGCCCCTGGTTCTCATGTTCTAATTCTTAATCCCAAGGATGGAATATGACATTGGTGCTCGTTTTTTCCACTATGACCGCCTTAACTCTCCTGGAGAAGGCTCTCCACAAGTTTAGGAGTGTGTTTATTTGAATGTTTTTTTGCTACTACTGCAAATTTGCACTATATATATTTGTCTTGCAATGCTCTGAACTTCCATGTCAATGCGTTGTGCACAATGTTTTTTCTTCCACACTGTTTACATTTGATCACTGCTGCACTTTATGAAATGGAAATGTTCATTTCACTGCTAAGCTGCTGCTCATTCACCTTCTGAAAGCTGTACAAAACAAGATATCGTTTTGTATATAATCTGTGTATACAAAATGACAATAAAAGTCTAAGTCTAAGAATATATATATTCTCAATACAAACGTGGAACTACTGGACTTCATTCAAATTGGACAAACAGGAAGGACACTTAAACCTATGAAGTGTGTTAGAGGTTGCCATGATAACTGCCCTCCGAATAATGCCGGCAGTAATGAAGAAGATAGGAAGAGAAAGCGGGATGCTTGCTGTTGATAGCTCATTTAACATAGGGAGCTTTCAACATTCCCATCTGCCACTTTAAAGGTGAAGAGTTTCCCACAATCCTTTGTGTGAAAGAAAATTTTTGGCAAAGCCCACCTCACTGAATTAACAAAATTAAATTATTTCTTCCCTCATTTTGTTTGACACGTGCATATGTAAACTTATATTGATTGATTGATAGACTTTATATATCAGCTTAATAGTCAAAAAGAACATACCAAATGAAGGAAAAGGTGCATGGGGTATATACAGTGTATATATATATATATATATATATATATATATATATATATATATATATATATATATATATATATATATATATGTAGTCTATTATTTTAGCTATTGCAGTTATAGTGTGGCATTGTAGAGTCTGGTTGCAGCCGGGATGAATCCTCTTTCACTAAAGGAGCTGATCAGTTCCTCTATGTCTGGTGCAGAGGGTGAAAGGTGTTGTCCATGATGGATGTAAGCTTGGACAACATTGTCCTCTCAGCCACTTCCTCCGCTGATTCCAGAGTGCAGCCTAGGACAGAAGTAGCCTTTCTCATCAGTTTGTCCCACTCTGCGCTGCCAGGGGCCCAGCAGAAGACAGCGTAGAGGAGGGCTGATACCACCACGGAGTCTTAGAAGGTTTTAAGCAGGGGCCTGCTCACTCCAAAGGACCTCAGCCTCCTCAGGAGGTGGAGGCGGCTCTGGCCCTTCTTGCATAGGGCGTCTGTGTTATGGGTCCAGTCCAGTTTATCACTGGTATTTGAAACTCTTATGTTTTGGGTTTTAAAATGGAGACCTTCAGCTTTCTGCTAAATCTGTGTAATTATTATTTTTTGGAAGACTGTAATCCCATTTTGAGCAGCATCATTCACGCATATTTTCATCTCCTAATGAAGTTCTGAAAGGCTAAGCTTGTCTGGATTTAGCACAACGAACTGCAGTTCTTATTCCTAACAAGGACAGTATTATTACTATTCCTTCACCATGTGAAAGATGAAGGCATAGGAGCTAAAACAGAAGCTAGGAGCTATTATTTGCCCAATCAGAATCAGCTTTTATGTTAGGCAACATTTTCCCTTTTTCAGATAGTGAGGAAGGAAGGAAGGAAGGAAGGAAGGAAGGAAGGAAGGAAGGAAGGAAGGAAGGAAGGAAGGAAGGAAGGAAGGAAGGAAGGAAGGAAGGAAGGAAGGAAGGAAGGAAGGAAGGAAGGAAGGAAGGAAGGAAGGAAGGAAGGAAGGAAATTCTTTGCCATGAGGTGCCATGTTGAACTTCCAGTAACCGGGTAATGTAGATTGACATCACTAAACTGAGCATGGTTCCTTTCTATTCATACCTGAAACCTTGCAACACTAACAAGTTAGGACACTGGGGAGGGAAAAATTGGCTAATTGGGCACAATTTGGACATTTCTTCATTATGCTGTTCTTAATGTTCTTGCTAGAACCTAATCCATTAATGCCTGTGTGCTGGATAACTTTGAGCGGGCTGTATATTTATAGTTACACAAGCTGTAAACTAACCAGTTCACATTTTATCAAAATGTCATATGCTAATATGATTTTGGTTATTTCAAATTAGATTGAACTTTTTAAAAATACTTTTTAATGCATTGCTTTCTGCAGTCAGAGTTAAAGTTTACTGCTACGGACTAAGAATTGATTGGTTGGGAAAGCAACCAATCTAGTTGGTTAAACCATTTTTGGTTAGATCAACCAATATATTGGTCAGAAACCCACCAAACTACTGGTTTCGGCTCAAAATATTGAATTGGTTAACCAAACAAACATTAAGCATGGTAACAGATGCTTTACTAATCTGAATGTTTGGCTGTAGTCAAGTGCAGTGTGTAATATTTATGGACCTAGAGGACAATTAATGATGTGTAGATGTGCAGTATGCTAATGTTGGCATAAACCTTGGCTGTAACATTAGTATTAAAGTAGTATTAAATTCCAAGCAATTTAAGCAGAGACTGTAGCGTTGGCGTAGGAGTTTGCGCTTCAACCGAAGGATTGTTGGTTTGAGCCCCAGCTTTGGGTGTGAAAGTTGCTAAGCTACTTAACTACCATTTTTGTCAAAGTGATGAATTTGTACTGATTTGACCTAATACCAATATAGATTGGTTAAAAACACTAGCAAATCTGATTGCTTGTTTTAACCAAATGATTGGTTTTACACATAACTATCAACCAGATTGGTCAAATTCAACCAATCTGTTTTTAGAGTGCAGACTGGAGGTGGAAGGTTTAAAGGCAATACCTCATCTGGAGTCCATTCTTGAAAACCAGCTTAGCTTTTCTGAAATTCTATCTGCATCTTCCTAGTGTCACTCAGCCAGTTCTGGTGAAAAGAAGGGACTGATTGGCAGAAATCCATGAAAAGCCATGTACAATCTCAAGACAAACACAAGGCACAGTCTTCCATGGTTTCCTCTGGTATTTTGTTGTCTCAGTCTTTATATAACCGAAAAGTACTCCACTATTGTAAAATAGGAAGTGACGATGGTAGTTTATCTCTAGGTTTAAATTAACAGCATCTGTTTGTGCTTTAACCTCT